ACAAAAATACATAATATTTATTTATGTAATACTTCATTAAAATATTTCATTTTAACAATTTATGTAATTTTTGGCAAACAATAATTTAATTACTGACAACTCATGCTAGGTACTTATGAATGGAATCACAATAATTTCTGATGAAATTAATCTAAAACTTCGCTTCGGCAGTACAATTATACTAACCTTTTTTTTTAATGAAAGATTCGTTACAGACACTGACAGTGAATTAAATATTTTATTTGTTTTGAAAAGTAAATTATGTTAATTTGAGCGTATCTGAATCCGATCCTATTTTTGACAACGGATTAACTACTTTCATATAAGTTAAGGGTGCACTGAGATAATTACGAAATAATTGCGTTCGTTTGATCCCTTGCTGTATTGTTATTGTATTCATCTCTTAACGTCCCACTGCTGGGCACGGGCCTCCCTTCAGTACGAGGGGGATCAGGCCATAGTCCACCACGCTGGTCAAGTGCGGGTTGGCGGACTTCACATGTCTTTAGAAAACTTACTAGGTTCTGTCAGACATGCAGGTTTCCTCACGATGTTTTCCTTTACCGTTAAGACAAATGGTAATCATGTTGGAAATGATTCGCACATGAAAATATCACCCGGGATTTGAACTCGCTTCACTCGGTTTCCCAAGCGAGTGCGTTACCACTAGGCTACCACTGCCTTAGTGAAATTTAGTTGAATAAATTTTAGTGTACAACTGTTTTTATAAAATTAAAAAGAAACAATTTTTTTTATTGAAACTTTAAATATCTCTAACTCTGACGTCAAACTCAATTTCAACGAAAACTTTTGTTCGTTGTATAAATTATCCCTTTGATTTTATAAGAAATAAACTTTTTAAGAAGTGAAATTTTTATTCATGCCTAACCAACAAAAAAAAGTGCGTGGTGCTTTGTACAATATTTTTATTCTAACTCTACTTTTAGAAATCGTACCAATGGAATATTCATAACAGATGATATTTAACACCCCACGCTTTTTTCACAATAACATTAATTTCCTCATTAATCACTTTATTCTTATACAAATTAAAAAAAAAAACTTTTTAGTTCGGTTCATCATTAAAGCGTGTTTTTTAGTTTTTTAAACTATAGTTTATTTTTCATTTTTTAGTTTGATTTGCTCTAAGCGGGTGTTTTTTTAGTTTTTTATTTTTGAAAATCGCGTTTCTCGAATCTCGCTTCGCTGGGCTTCGTCCCTAAATGTCACTCTAAAAAATGTAAAAAAAATGCATTTATATTTATTTAATAGTAATCTATACTTATAATAAATCTGTAGAGAGGTCAATTCTGTACATGAAATATATTTCCAAAATAACTATCAGGGGGTGATTAGGGATCGATACTGATGCCATAAATGCAATCAGTAAAATTTTTGTCTGTCTGTCTGTCTGTCTGTATAACCGTTATAGAAAAAAAAACTACTCGACGGATTTTAATGAAACTTGGTACAATTATTTTTCATACTCCTGAGCTGGTTAAAGTATACTTTTCATCACGCTACAATCAATAGTAGCAGAGCAGTGAAGGGAAATGTTGGGAAAACGGGAGAAGTTACTCCATTTTTTAAGCTTCCGTCGCGTGTGCAACCTTAATGGTTAAAGCTACACAGAAATCATGTATGACGGAAATGTTCTCCTTAAAATTATATAAAAAATATCCCACGACAGCATATGTCTATCTTTTATGGTTGACTCACAATAACACGTGTAACTCCCGATAGCTTAGCAGTTCGAAGCTTTCTGATTTATATTTGTGTACTCTTACGTTTATAACACTCTCAGTCATCCCTAATTAAAAAAGTTAACATTATTAACTATTCCATAAAAGAGAATCATAGAAATCGGTATAGAAACACCAAAGTTACATGTATTTTTTGCACGTTTTTCTTCTCCAACTGTCCAAAGTTAGCGGAAAAGAGTACAGTCATACAATGAACTAATATTATAAAAAGGTAAAGTTTGTGATATTGTGAGTTTGTGATGTTGTAGGGGTAATCTCTGGATATACTGAACCGATTTTCAAAAAAAAATTACCAATAGAAAGCTACGTTCTTTCTGAGTGTTATAAACTATATATTAACCCGAAGAATGAAAAGACTTTTTCATGGTAGTCGGATTTGCAAAGTAAGTCGGAGAAGAAACGGTCGAACGAAAACGTTTCTTACGAACGCTGCTTTAACGAAATATATATATATATATATATATATATATATATATATATATATATATATATATATATATATATATATTTAAGAGATATATGATTATGTTCTAGAGAAAAGTTGTAGAACTTAATAATGCCTATAAAAAAGTCACCGACAGCATATGTCTAACTTTTATATTTAAGTCACAAAAAGTAGTTTTTTATATTAAAAATAATTTAAATCGGTAGGTCATGTTTATTGATCATATTATCAACAATTATGAATTCTTATCATAATAAGCAAATTTATCGTCTAAAATATTTAAAACAAAAAACTTCTCCCTTTTACTGCATATAATTTGGACAAATGGTTAAAGAGATAATACGACATACACATAGGTATGGAACCGCGACCGAGTCGTTACCTATTGAGTGATATTTCTATAAGATGTTTTTTTTTCATATACAATACTAATGATGATGATGATGATGTTCTCTTAGCCGATTCCGGCCACGGCGGCCAATCTCAATGAGATTAGCCAACTGCGCAGGAGATATTATAGTGCTCAAGTGTACGCGCAGACACAAGTGCACTCTCTATTCCTATCACTCTCATACTCCGGTGGGACGACTGCTCGACACGACCGGTGAGAGTTAAGGCGCAGGACCGACGGCTTTACGTGCTCTCCGAGGCACGGGGGTGAAACACCGCCAACTTCCCAACTCCGGGCTGTTACTGAGACTTACTATACAGGAAGACTCAATAACTAAACTTGGCCCGACCCGGGACTCGAACCCAGGACCTCCGGGTGTGCAGCCGTACATGCTAGCCACTACAACACCGAGGCAGTTAAGTTAAGAGAGAGCAATACTAATACTTTACGTCAATCTATCTATACTAATATTATAAAGAGATAAAGTTTATGTGTTTGTGAGTTTGTGAATTGTGAGTTCGTGACGTTGTAGGAGGTAATCTCTAGATCTACTAAACCGATTTAGATGAAATTTGGCAAGAAGATAGTTTGAGACCCTGGGAATGACATAGGATACTTTTTATCCCGGAAATTATCCCTTATGGGGTATGTTATGCTGTATGGGGAAGCAAGCTAGGGACGAACCCGAGCGAAGCGAGGGTGAGTCGCTAGTGTGAATAATAATTTCGTTCTTTTTTTGAAAATCGAGTTCAAAGATTCCGTTAATAGATAGATACAGGTGAAGCGAACAAAAACATGTTAAAAAGACCGCATATAATTTCATATACATTTAGTAAAAAGCTTAAAAAAAATTGATAACGTCAAAAGAAAATTTATGGTGTAATTTATTTTAAAATATATCCGAAAATAACATAAAAAAATTTAAGTAATAATATAAAAAATGTTAACAACAAAATCGAAAGTGCATAATAATTACAAGACTTCCGCGACACCATTCAGACAAAGAGAGACAATAGCATTCCCAAGGAGGGTTGACGTCAGGCAGGCGGCCGGTCTTAAAACTTTTACCAAATCAGCAGTACAGAAGATGTACCGCCGAAGATGCGCCGACCCCAAGTGATTGGGAAATGGGCAGGGAGAAGAAGATTTAGTAAAAAGCTGATATTTTGACATTACAAACAGATACTTCATTTTTATTTACTTGTATATATGTATTGCTATAGATACCTAAAGCCATATGAGATTACAAGCTTCACCGATATGTAAGATTGTTGTATTGGCGAATCTGTATAATTAATACAATATTAAATTTCTAACATTGATGTAGATAGATAATAATTAATTAATTAATAACAGGCATTCTGATAATTTCTGATATGAGTTCTGTGAAAAGGTATTTACGTGTATATGTTTCATAAGATATTTTGTATCAAATTGATGCTGTTGTCAAACCCTCTGAATGGAACTAAAATGGTTACCCATCCAAATGTACACTATACTTATGTGGACAATTCCATATATGTATGTAGTAGGCACCTATAATATATTTTACTAGGTAAACATTATAAGGTTAGATATCTTAATAATTTTTAAATCAATATCTTAATAATATTTAATCAATTTTTAACTGAAACATACATATGTGTATCCATTAACATAATTACGAAAATCTAAAATAAGCATAACTTTTGCGTTTTATTTTTTAAAAGTCAGCTTATTTATGGTAACGCTACCATTCTCTACCTAGCTCCAACACTTCCGTAGTGTTATTCTGTAAGGACTTCTATGTAACACACAACTGAATCCGCGAACGTTCTTTAAGAATGTTGTATAAGATCACAGATTTTGGTGTCAAATTCTTTTAAAAGTTCTAACAGAATTTTACTGCAACTCACATAAAAATACCATAATTTACAATATTTTCTCAGATTTATACGGAGTTATCATAAAATATAAATAACTAGCGAAAAACAAAAACAAATCTATCCCACGGGAAGCGTACATTTTTCCGGGATAAAAAGTAGTCTATGTGTTATTCTGATGTATGAGCCATATTATTGTAAAGTTTCATCAAAATCCATTTAGTAGTTTTGGCGTGAAAGAATATCAAACATACATCCATACATACATACATTCATACAAACTTTCGCGTTTATAATATTAGCAAGACTAGTAATATGATTTGCTTCACTCGGCTTCGTCCCTAAATACCACTTGTACTTAAAATATTATATACAGGCAGCCATCACCTTTTGAATTGTGTTTCTGTGTACTAAATAGCATCTAAATTCAGTTGTTTCAGCTTGAAGGAAATAAGCAATAAACATAAAAAAATATCGCATTTATATTTTTTTAATAGTTATGTGGTTCAAGATAAATAATTATTTCATTTTTTTTATAGGATTAAACCCAAAGGAGCTTCGCGGCACCAAAACTGGCGTGTTCATCGGCGCTTGCTTCTCGGAGTCAGAAAAGACATGGTTCTACGAAAAAATGCAGGTTAATGGATTTGGTGTCACTGGGTAAGTTTACAGAGAAATATATAAATATGACTAGCGGATAATGATAAATGATGATGAAAAACAAAATCAAGTCTATACCTCGGGAAACGTATATTTTTCCGTGATAAATAAAGCCCATGTGCTATTCCAGATTATAATCAGCCGTTCTGGCGTGAAAGAGTAACAAACATCCATACATACAAACTTTCGCATTTATAATATTTATACAGAGCTAATGGAGCCCAAGGGGGGATTTTCTGTAGTTACTCGAGCGCGGCAGATTAACATAAAAGAGGTTACCTTGCACTCTATTGAGTACTTTCACCATAATATAAGTCTTCTATATAAAGGGGCGCGTCTAGGGAAGCCGATTAAAATATTTAAAAAATGTTTTGATAAGGTAGAAATACTTGAAACCGTCAGATTAAGGTGTGGTAGGCTAGTCACATCCTGAAAAGTGTCCAATTCAATAATCTGCCGATTTGCACAAGCCGAAGAGGCAAAAATCGACTATAAAGTTTATGATGATTTTTGCTTGCAAATCTTGTGCAAATCGGCAGATTATTAAATTGGACACTTTTCAGGATGTAACTAGCCTACCACACCTTAATCTGACGGTTTCAAGTATTTTTACCGTATCAAAACATTTTTTAAATATTTTAATCGGCTTCCCTAGACGCGCCCCTTTATATAGAAGACTTATATTGTGGTGAAAGTACTCAATAGAGTGCAAGGTAACCTCTTTTATGTTAATCTGCCGCGCTCGAGTAACTACAGAAAATCCCCTCTTGGGCTCCCCTACTATAAGCTTAAATTTTAAAAGCTAATAAATAAGGTTATGAGTAACTCTATGTCATAACCTATGTGTGTGTATGTGTACTAAAACGCCAAAGCAAACATTTGCATATATAGTAATTTTCGCAGTTATAGTTTTCCGATGTGTCATAGATATATGATTTTGATCAAGCTCTATCTAATAAGTATGTTTTGTCGCAAGCTATAATTTAAATTATAGAGGATAATATACCAGTATATATAAATTGTAAAAGAAAATTGACTATTATTATCAATGATCTGTCCGTCACTTTCAAAATTAAAAATATCAACATTTATGCAATAATAAATAATAATAATGTCCTCCCTACTGATTTCGGCCACTGCGGCCAATCTCATTGAGACTTGAACGGGGCTGAAACACCGTCAACTACCCAACTCCGGAAAGACACAATAACTAAACTTGGCTCGACCCGGGACTCGAATCCAGGACCTCCGGATGTGCAGCCGTACATGCTAGCGACTACACCACCGAGGCAGCTATGCAATAATAATTTTTTATAAATACAAATGAACATGCGATCCATATGACTGTTGTATTAAATTAATATTATATTAATTAAAATAAAACTACATGATAGCTTGAGAATTCATCTTGTAATGTCATTGTGTTATCTTTCCTCTAGTTTATAGTAACAACGTAAAGTTTGTATATGTCTTATAAAAATATAAAATAAACTAATACAACAATGACATTTACAATTTCTAGTAAATCTACCAAAAAAATTCAGTCTGGATAACATCCGGTGCTGATGGTAATGACCACTTTATCTTGGCAGAGTTAAACCCGTTAATCTGGAGTAATTCCGTACACGCTTTTACAATGCTAACTTTAATGGATAGTCCATTTGCAGAGTTATAAAGTTAGACTGCTGTTAGTCGATGCATTCATTTTAATTGCCCAAGATAGCTTGTATTATAGAAATTTAATATTATTATTAACAGCAGTTTTAAGGTTTAACTACATTTTGTTTATTAATTTTATTTACAAACTTGCGACTCACCCTCGCTTCGCTCGAGTTCGCCCCTGGTTACGTTTTAACGTTTAGTATAGATTTATCACAGATGAGATATTTTCCCGTAATAAAAAGTATCCTTTATATTGACCCGGCTAATCAGCTGTCGTCATACCAAATTTCATCAATACCCTCCAGTGGTTTTCCGTGATGCGGTAACAGACAGATATACAGACAAAAATTCTAAAAACTATAGATTTGGCCTCCGTATCGATAATAAAGTCTATTTCAATAAGATTTTCCAAAAAATATTTAATGTATAGATTCGGCTTAGTTACGATTTTATTATATGTATAGACCAGCGACTCCCTCCCTCTCCGCTCGGATTCGCCCCTGGTTACGTTTTAACGTTAAGTATAGATTTCTCAGAGTTGAGACATTAAATGTACAGATTCGATTCACTTAGAATTTTATTATAATATGTATAGATGTATTATGTCGTCTTAAATAATTTCATTTTTAATTATTATCAATTCAAGTTATTTAAAAAATATATATAATATCTTTTTCATTGCGGCACTAGGCAATTATTATTGGTGATATAAAGATTATTTCAAACTAGCTTGGGCAAAACTTTAACCTTTGTTTTATAAAGTCTACGACAAAGAACTGTGAGTTTTTAATTTACCAGCACGAATAAACTAAAAATGTCTTTACAGATGCTCTCGTGCCATGTTGGCCAACCGAATCTCTTACTGGTTGGGCGTGACCGGTCCATCATATACTGTGGACTCTGCTTGCTCCAGTTCACTTTACGCCTTAGAACATGCATTCAGAGCTATTCGCGATGGTCACTGTGATGCGGCCATTGTTGGTGGATCAAATTTGTGTCTCCATCCATATGTATCACTGCAGTTCTCTAGGTAAGTGATTAGAAAATTGGGCTGCTTTTTTATACCCGTTATTATGTTAGGACAGACAGTTTATAGAAAATAGTCTATATGTTACAAATTTTTTATTCTCAAATTACACGTAGAGTTAATAAGTATTGCTATTTTAGAAGTTCCAATAGAATAGTTTTTAGTCTTTCTCCTATTGTCTAAATCGTACTTGTTTATTATCGTCCAATCCTATCCAATTTATGAAAATTCTCATTACGTAGGTTACTTATAATAATATTAAAAACAATATTTTTTTATATCCATAGATTAGGTGTATTATCTCCTGATGGAAGCTGCAAAAGTTTCGATAATAGCGCTAACGGCTACGCTCGATCTGAAGCAATCGTTGTTGTTTTGCTACAGAAAGCTAAAGATTCTAGAAGGTATGCAAAGGTTTTTTAACTTTAATATAGTCATTTATTTCATTTAATAAGATATTTTTGTAACTTATGATTGATTAGTTGGAATATAATTTGATTACTTAAGTTGTTTTTTTTAAATATTTAAGTAACAATAGTTTTAAATAAAACTATCTTTTCGGATTTTGTCGTTGTTGTGTTGCATTTTTGTTTCCCAACGTTTCGAATGCTTTAGAGCATCCATGGTCCCGTGACCAAATCCGAAAAGATAGTTTTATTTAAAATGTCAAATATTCGCGTAAATCTAAGAAAGTATTATAACAATAGTTTTTTAAATAAAATAAGTTCTCAGCAAGATTTTTGGTGATGACTAGACTTAAAATCTGATATCTCATCCTCAGAGTTTACGCTCAAGTCCTACATGCAAAAACTAACTGCGATGGTTACAAGGAACAGGGTATTACATATCCGGCTGGAAACATCCAAAAACTTCTTCTAAGCGAGTTCTACGAAGAATGCTCTATCTCACCCAGCAGTCTGGAGTTTGTCGAGGCTCACGGAACTGGTAAATATATATTTTTAATCTTACATCATTATCCAATTTTCTTGTTAATGGCTTTAAACGTGCCAATTTAGTTCCATTTTCCTTAATGTCACGAAGAATGGTGAGAGGCGATTTAGATTAATCTATCGATTAAGATATTAAAGTTAAGGAAAATTAATTTCGTCATTTTATGAAAATTGACGAACGTTTTCTAAATTAGTAATCTTCTGGGGGACTTATATCGATGAAGAATACTTTATGGAAATGAAGTATTTTGATTCTATGACATAACGATATTAAAATTTATTTTCTCCAAAGATTGCAGAGTAACTAGTCTAAGCTATTTAAATCGATTGTAAATTATATGATTCAGTAGTAGGTGAATTTTGTACTGATTTCAACGTACCTACTTTTCATGACTTAGAAGGTAGTAAAAAATCAATTATCTTTTGATTCAGTAGAAACATGATATAGAGTAAGGTCTTGTTATTCTTTACATTTATTCTGCAAGAGACACTGTTAAGTTGAAAAAATGCTGTAGTTGCTGGCCTAAGTAATTACTAACTGAGTAATTATGGCAGCGTATGTGGTTGCACGTCAGTAAACGTAGGTTCCAATTACGAACGTATAAAAATTAGTTAGTAGAAAGAGTTTTTACAATTTATTTTACGTAATTTTATGGGTTTTTGTTAATGTTAATATATATGTATATTACAACAAATAACTATTAATAGATATACAGTGGATATATTTAACATATCAACTTTAAGTCTATTTTAGCATGACAGAGTACAAACAATAAACTTTATAGCATACCAGCAACTCACCTTCGTTTTGCTTCGGGTTCGTCCCGAGACAAAACCAAATCTATCCCACGGGAACCGTACATTTTTTCGGGATAATATATAGCCTTAAATAGCCTTCATTTTCCAAAAAGAATTTTTCATATCGGATTAGTAGTTCCTGAGATTAACGCGTTCAAACAAACAAACAAACAAACAAAGTCTGCCTCTTTATAATATAAGTACCTGTAGATTAGTAGAGCAAATTAACAGACAAAAATATAATTGCAGAAAAAGAGTACTCTACATACTACATGCAAGTTTTTATAAAACAGTTTAATATAAATAACGAACTATCTTTAGTAAACAGCGTGGAGCTTATCAAACTTGTACTTAAAAAGGCCATCATAAAGTGTAAAGCAATCATACAACAGAAAGAAAAAGCTAATGGATAACGCAAAAGATAGCAAAACTTGGACGTTCACTCCAAGTACACTCTGACGTGAATTAAAAAGCTCTTTCATCACAACTATTGTTCACAGCACAAAGGACGTAGATAAATGTCCGTTTTAAGAAAAATACTTGCCTTCTTATAAAAAAAAACATGTAAATAATTTTGTTGGTTCATTCTGAATGAGAGTTCCGATTGCGACCCTCAAAGGGGCAATAAAGCATCCATTCAACAAACGCTTTAATTAATATTGATCGTGTATGGTCGAATTATACTAGGTTATTATATTTTCAATTGAGATGACGATTCGATTAACTTGTCAAAATGAAGGTTTTTATTGAATTTGATTTTGTACGGGAAGCTGTTTGGATATTATAATATGAATATAAAAGAAATTAGCATTTTGATCAGAATCAATAATAGAATTATTATATTTAATTAAAATACAAATTTATGTACAAGAAAAGAAAATATAGTGAAATTACAAATAAACTTATTAGTCTATTCGATTTATACACAACAAGTCATGTCCGTGTGGAATTGTAGCAAGATTGCTAGCCGCATTTCCCCCGTTGAATGGCAATACCGATTCTTTGGGTAAAAAACGAAACAACTCTCTTATCGCAAGAATAGGCGATAAAAGAAGGTGTTACGGCTTTTAAGAATTCTAGTATTTTTTAGAAATATAAGTGTTATTAGTAGTATTTAATTTTCAGCTGCAAAAGTACAAAGACCTCAAAATTCTTTCTTTAAGGAGGATTTATTTCAAACTTATATGAGATCATACTTAAAATGACCTATTCGTTAAAAAAAAAAAACAAAAAAATCTATTTACAATTCGCAAAGATAACATATACAAATAAATATATCGAATCGAATACCTTCTTCTTTTCGATGTTGGTCAAAAATGTAGTAATTTCATAAAACAACTCAGCAATATCGGTAATGCGATTAAGCGAATAGATTCATCTAACGTTTTTGCTACTACATATATTACACAAATATGGCAAGTATAGTAATTATAGAAATACTTTGTGGATCTGACGATATAAAAAAACTAACTCCAATTTTTTTATATATTTTTTTATATATTTTAATAGGTAGGCTTTAATTACTTAGCCAAAGCACACCGACTTCGAAAATATTTGATTAGGTATGTATAGTAAATGAAAACTACCAATCAGTTATTTTTTACTTTTTAGTGCTTTTGTTTGAAGTCGGTTTTTATTTTTTTGTTAAAAAGTTTTTATTTTTCTTTAGTGGCTTAGAGTTGTGTTAATAGACGCAGTACATTCTGCCAGTGTCACTTATTGTGAGGAAGACATGAAAGAATTTTATTTATACTACGAATAAATAAGATTTATTTTTTATTCGTGGTATTTATATATTGAAATATCATTATGTCATGAATTTCCATATTATGTCATATATTTGGTAGATTTCTATTTTCTTAGTTTTTTTTCCTATTCTATATTTATTAAGCCCTTTTTAACGTCCCACTGCTGGGCACGAGCCTCCTTCAATACGAGGGGGATCAGGCCATAGTCCACCACGCTGGCCAAGTGCGGGTTGGCGGAATTCACATGTCTTTCGAAAACTTGCTAGGTTCTCTCAGACATGCAGGTTTCCTCACGATGTTTTCCTTCACCGTAAGGTAATCATGTTGGAAATGATTCGCACATGAAAATCTCAGAGGTGATACCCGGTATTTGAACCCGCTTCACTTGGTTTCCCAAGCGAGCACGTACCACTGCGCTACCACTGCCTTAATATTCTATTTATGTTAAAAAAAAAACAAGTATTATGTAAAACTTTAATAATAAGTATAATAACAATATACCGAAATAATGTTACATGGACTTACGTTTAAGAATGTGCGTAAATAGATGATTTAGTATCGACACGTTGTGATATTGTATGCTCAATATTGTGTATTAAAAGGGTCACGCCCGTTTTCAATGTAATAAATAATATACTAGAATGTAACGTGTATTGGTTTCATGTCGTTAATAAATTTTGCTATCGTTTCTCATACTGAATATTAGATTTATATCTTTTTGGATGTGTACAGCAATTTTTAATCAAACTATCTACTATTATAATAGCGAAAGTTTATTTGAGTGTTTATTTTCGTATGTTTACTCTATATTTATTACTAACAAATCGCTTCGGATGTGCTGCTAGTCGTAATTAAATTTTATTTTGCCTCCATTTTTCCTCTCGTTTCCTATTAAAATATAGACAAGTTGGATTTAATTATGTTTGTTGGCTTTGAGATGCACCGCTTTTCAACCGACTTCAAAAAGGAGGAGGATCTTAATTCGACTGTTTTTTTTTGTTTGTTACCTTAGAACTCCGTCATTTATTCACCGATTTGGATTTGGATTTTTGTGTTGTTTGAAAGTGTATATTTCCAGATTGGTTCCATTTAAATTTCAAAAAAAAATAATACCACCCCTAAGGGTGGAAAAATAGCTAATGATGAATTTAACCTACTTCTAATTGTCATATTGACTTGAAACTTTGCAAGTGTTTCTATTTCCGTTGATAGTTGAAGTCGGTGTGCTCATGGCTAAGTAATTAAAGCCTACCTATTAAATACATACCTAATCAAATATTTTCGAAATCGGTGCCAGCCCATACAAAGTAAAGCACACTGACTTCGAAAATATTTGATTAGGTATGTATAGTAAATGAAAACTACCAATCAGTTATTTTTTACTTTTTAGCGCTTTTGTTTGAAGTCGATTTAATTTTGTTAAAAAGTTTTAATTTATTTGAATGTGTTTTATATTTAAATATTTAAATAATAAGGATTTTAAGGCTACTTTAATGTTTGACGTTTATTTGTTTAGGGTTCCGTAGTGAACAAGGAACCCTTATAGAATCGCCATGTTCGACGGACGTCACTCCGTAGCTTAGCTCAGAGACACTTAGTATTAGAAAGCTGTAATTTGGCACGGAAATCAAAAATCAAGATAATATCTTATAATAACAAGATAAGATTGAATAAAAACTATTTTTACGGTACCTCCCCTACTGTGCGGTCGCGGGTTCGAGTCCCGCTATTCATTTGTGTTGTGAACACATGTGTGTTTATGTTTATAGTACCTATGTATATATGTATTTAAAGTTATATATTATAATTTAGGCTGTTGCTATTTACAATGTTTTTTTTTTCGTTATGCATTTTAAAACTTCACGGTATATTTTTCCTACAGGCACTAGAGTCGGAGATCCTGAAGAGTTGAAGGCTATTGACGAGATCTTCTGCACGGGCCGCTCGGAGCCTCTCATGATCGGTTCTATTAAATCCAATTTGGGACACAGTGAGCCTGCGTCTGGTCTCTGCTCTGTTGCAAAGGTAATTAAAATTTTGTGTATATACTGTAGGTATTATTGAATACTAGCGATTCAACCGAGCTTCACTTCGAGATCGACCCCAGTGAAAAACAAAAAAAAATATCCCACGGGAACCGTACATTTTTCCGGAAAAGAAAGTAGTCTATTTGCTATTCCAGACTACAATACATCTATGTGCCAAATTTCATCCAGATCCGTGTTCAGTCGTTTTGGTGTGAAAGAGTTACAAACTTCCACGCAGCCATCCTCACAAACTTTCGCATTTATAATATTACCATGGACATGATTTTGCCTGTGACTTTGTCGGAATGTTTGTTTAGTTCATCGCCATTCAATATGATCTCTTCAGCACGACTTTGTGTATGTCCAATGGAAATAAAATTTACAAGATTTATGTTAAACTACTAGCGACTCACCTTCACTCCACTCGGGTTCGTCCCTTGCTATGTTTTAACGGTTAGTATAAAATCAGAGATAAGATATTTTCCCGCAGTAAAAAGTATCTTAAATGTTGACCCGGATAACCAAAGGATCATCATACCAAATTTCATCAAAATCTGTCCAGTGGTTTTTCGTGACGCGGTCTTGGATAGACAGACAAAAATTCTAAAAACTATAGATTTTGCCTCTGTATGGACAATAATGTTTATTTCAATAAGATTTTCCAAAAAATATTTTAATGTATAGATTCGGCTTAGTTACAATTTTATTTTATGTATATATTATTTGTTATACTGATATACCGAATAGATATAATATAATACATAATTATTAAATTGCACGAATCTTCATTCTTAATAACAAGACAGTAATAATGACGTATGAAATGTTTTTTTAGCTATGTATTGCATACTCAACTGGTTATATTCCACCAAATTTAAATTACAAAGTACCGAGGGAAGGTGTACCTGCTCTTACTGATGGAAAGCTTAAAGTGATAACAGAGAAACAGCCGTGGAATAGAGGAATGTCTGGTATCAACAGTTTCGGATTTGGAGGGGCCAATGCTCATACTTTGCTGAAAAATGTTGCAAGAGAAAAGGTGAGTTTGTTTGTGTTTTATAGTTTAGTATTGATTTCTTAGAGGTGTGATATTTTACCGCAGTAAAAAGTATCCTATATGTTGACCCAGACAACCCGCTATCATCATACCAAATTTCATCAAAATCTGTCCAGTGGTTTTTTCGTGATACGTTCCTCGCCGGACAGACAAAAATTCTAAAAACTATAGATTCAGCCTCTGTATTGATAATAATGACTATTTTGATAAGATTTTCCAAAAAATATTTAATGTACGGATTTGACTCAGTTAGACTTTTATTATATGTATAGATTTATTTTTAGAAACTGTAATCGTTATTTTGTTAATTTCAATAAAACTTACAGTATTGAAATTAACGAAATAGCTCGATTTTTCATATTTTAACTACCTTTAGATTTATTATGAATACTTATTATTTACATTAATTTTTTGATGAAAAATGTTATAAAAAGAGTCATATGCATATTTTTTCAATAGTTAAATAATATTTCATGAGCTGTAATTAATTTGAACTTAAAGTTTATAATCCAAGCACCTAATTGGATTTAACAAATAAGAATTGATCAAATAAAATTTTATTATTAGATCAACAATGGTATCCCGAATGACGACCTGCCACGCCTAGTCTGCGTCTCAGGCAGAACAGAAGCTGCGGTGGCAAGGATCTTAGACGATCTAGAATCTAGGACTGTTGATGCTGAACTCGTTAGACTGTTACATGGTATCCATAACGAAGATGTTACTGGACACGTTGTTAGAGGATACTCCTTATTGGGTAAGAAAATAGAAATTGTTAATTGTTAAACTAAACATTTGTTTTGCCCATCTTAATTAGATTGAGATATTATAGTCTTTATTCAACTTTTTTGTTTGATGTCAAAAGTTATAATTGAGACTCAACAAATCCTAAGATACAAATATATTCAGCAATCTAACATTTAAAGATATCAATTGATACTTTGTTAGATTTACGCGAATATTTGACATTTTAAATAAAACTCCCGTCTCTCCTGTAATCATGATTGCTGTAAAACATTCAAAACGTTGGAAACCCAAAAATTAAGATAAATTCGCCCAAAAATCTGCAAAACCAGTTGTATTTAAGATATAAATTGAATAGTGAAATTCTAGAACGAAATTTTTCAAAAGTTAAGCAGTGTAAATTAATCAAAATGATAATTCTTCTAGGTTCAACCCCAACAAAAGCCATATCACTAGCTCGGGAGGTCCAATACTTCTCCGGCGTCCGCCGTCCAGTTTGGTTCGTGTACTCTGGTATGGGTTCTCAATGGGCTGGCATGGCCACTCAGCTTATGAGAATACCTGTATTTGCTGCTGCTATTCAAAAGTAAGTATATATATATATATATATATATATATATATATATATATATATATATATATATATATATATAAATGTTTTGGCACTCTTTGCACTTCAGTTTTAGTGGCATATACTTTACTGGCTCTGAAAAGAATACATTATAATTTATGTAAGAAAAAGGCGGAGAAGTGTAATATTCTCTTTCATAAATTTCTCTTTTAAAAAAATATTCTAAACAAGGAGCTTTGTTAAATGGCTCCCTTAGAAAAGAGAAATTGGTTCACACGGAGGTCATACCTCTGATATTTTCATCTGCGAATAATTTAATTTCAATATATTGCTACTTGTAGTGTACTATGACAAATAGTATTGTAAGGAAACCTGCACGTCTGAGAAAACCTAAGACACATGATGCCCGTATTAGACCAGAGCAGTGGACTACGGCCTAAACTGCCTCGCATTCAGTTAAGGCTTGACAATCAAGGCGTTAATGTTGCTGAACTATTATAATATATTTTTATAAAGATATTAGGATTATAGACATTAACACACAGCATCATCTAGGTTCCATGCTAAGCTACGAGGCTTTTGTTATGGATAACAGATAGTTTATACGCTACAAATACATATTATATAACTTTAAATACATACACATTATAAATATAAACACCCATGACTGGAGTACAGACATTCGTGCCCATCACACAAATTAATGCACAACAAACAAATCAAAGTAAATGCAAAGGTACAAATCAAAGTAGAAGTGGGACTTGAATCCGTGATCGCTGGCATAGCAAGTAGGGTCACTACAAACTGAGCCAAACGTGTCGTCGTATTATACTTAAGATAAATCGCATATATTCATTAAGAATATTATATATTAATATTAAGTTGTTTTTTCCTAGGTGTCACATAGCTTTAGAGCCTAAAGGTATCAATCTAACTAAGATTGTAACTGATCCGGATCCTAAAATCTATGACAACATCCTGAACTCCTTCGTCGGCATCGCCGCTGTACAAATTGGCCTAACTGATGTTTTGAAGACGGTTGGCATTGAACCAGATTTTATTTTAGGTAAGTCCTTCCCTTACTTATAATATTATTATTTATTACACGGTTTTTCAATCTTATTATTTGGTTTTGAAGTTATTTTACAATACAATAATTATAATAATTGTTATAGAAATTTATTGAACGTTTGTTATATTAGAAGAAAATGTAAGTACAAAAGTTGTAGATCTTTTTATTGCTTACAACTTTATTATTTAACTTTTTTCCATAGGACTTGCAGTTTTGCCGGAAATCGAGAAAAACCGTTTTTACCCTTAAAACTCCAAATTCATTTTTGTTATATTCTCTTCTTTTTCGAATGGGTTTCATATTTTTTTTTTGTTTCAAAAATTATCGACCCTGGTCTATTTGGTTTCCCTTCGCAAAAACCCTTCACAATAAACTTTCACCTACAATACAAGACATATTTCGAAGCTATAATTTAGAAGAGTAATGCGTCGCAAATAAATCACGATCTATTTAGCTGATTGATGAGATTGTGTTAAACTACCACTCGTAAGTGATTACTGCACAAAACTAAAGTAATGAATGATTCTGATAAATCCTTTATTCGATATATACTAGATATTGAATGCGGTTTCGGCTGTGTGTTTATTTCCATATAGTCTAGTATGATTAAGTGAAATGTATAACTGCGTTGGTAGCTAGCATGTACGGCTGCAGATTCGGAGATCCTGGGTTCGAGTCCTGGGTCGGGCCAAGTTTGATTACTGAGTTTTTCTGTTAATATACTTTCAGTAACAGCCCGGAGTTAACGGAGAGATAATAATTTCAAATATGTGATATGGTTGTTATGGCTTATAATGCTACATTAACTAAATACAAGTTTTAAAATAATTGCCTTTTAACTACAAAACTGCTTTCATTTTATACTGCTCTTTTTTTAAGTCGGGCAAAGAATGATCAAGAAAAACATGTTTTATATTGCACTTCGTTCACAGCGTTTTTGTTTAGACAAATTACTTCTGCATTAATAACTTCTATAGAAAATCAACCGTCCGTACAACCGAAATTTATATTGTGGTCGATCAAATAGACAGAAAAACTTGTATATATATATATATATATATATATATATATATATATATATATGCATGTATATATATACATATATACTTGCATAATGACGAATTTTTACAAAAAAATAAAAAAGTCAAACATAAATTTAAAAAATATATAAAACAAACAGCTTTTTATTATATAACTAGCGGCTCCCCTCGCTTGCTCGGGTTCGTCGCTAGGTACGTTTTAAATAGATATAAATAGTTATTAGCCAACGTTTGCCATATAACTTTTAATTTTTTTGTTAATAATATTGACAAATATTGACATTAATATTTATACGATTCTAACGTCACACAATTGCCATCAATGTCCTGCCTTCCCGGAACCTCTCCACTAACACTTAAACTTTATGTTATGGTATTAAAGTTCAAATTGACTTTTAAGTATTATTACGAATCTTTTGTATAGAAAAGTGTTGTTTTTAGACTTTTTCAGGCAATTTTTTAATTTTTTTTCTCCGTAAGAACCATCCTCGTACTTCAAGGAAGATTCTAAAAAAAGAATTAGCGAAATCGGTTTAGCTGCTCTCGAGATTTGCGCTTACATTCAGCGATTCATTTTTATATTATAGAAGATTGAAAAGAAAAATTCAAACTGGTAGAAATAAGGGGGTTTATCCAAAAAAATAAATAAATAAACTCTTTATATAATAGCAGATATAAATAGATATCTAATTATAATTAAATCGTGATTACAGTGTATTATGTTCTAACCCTTTACACGAATTGAAAGCCTCGTATTTCTAATTAGCATGCATCAACTAGAATCTCTGGAAGATATCATATTAATGTTAATTCCATTAATAAACTTGCTTTAAATTAACATAATATAAATGTGTTAAGTGTGATTAATTATACCAATAACTTCGAATAATACTTTCTTAGACTTACTTTTATTTAAAACAATCTTCTAATAAATAAAAATCTCGTGTCACGCTGTTTGTGGTCGTACTCCTCCGAAACGGCTCGACAGATTTTAATGTTATTTTTGCATATTTGGCAGGTATAGAGATAGGTCGTAAAGTATTTTTCACCCTCCTACTTCCCCTCATTTTTTATTAGCGGTTTTAGTATTTTTGTATGAACAATATTATATAAATTCATTTGTACACATGGTATCTGTTTTCACTTGTATGTTTTCTTTTCTGGTACATAAATAAATAAAGAAAATAAATAAATAAATATATAGTATCCACACTAATATTATAAATGTGAAAATGTGTTTGTTTGTTCGTTTGTCCTTCTTTCACGTCGAAACGGAGTAACGGATTGGCATGACTTTTTGTATGGAGATAGTTGGAAGGCTGGAGAGTGATATAGGATACTTTTGGCCGCGGAAGATCATCTCATTCCCACGAAAAACACGTTATAAGACAACCCAAAAAATATTTATGGTCAGAATTACTTGAAACTTAGTACTAATGCCCTTCAATACTATTTAATAAATACGTGTTTTAGCATTTTTTAAAATTCATCCCATAAAAAAAAATAGGTAAAATAGGAGATGAAAATTTGTATGAAAACTACCATTTTAGAGTTTTTGTTGCAGTTTAGCGCGAGCGAAGCCGCGGGCTCTGCTAGTTATAATAAATACACGCTGTATAACATAAACCCAAGCATTTTTGTAGATTGAACGTGGGCGTAGCCGCGGGTTTCGCTAGTATTAAATATAATGCTAAAAATGTCTATAGTTATAATTTTTTATTATCTTAATTTATCTTCTATGTTTGTTATTATTGTATTTTTTAAATATTAAGTTATACATATATTTTTTTATTTATTGTATTATTGAGACGTATAAATTGTAAACCTAAAATATCTCAAAACAATAATAACTTCATCTCATAAACCATGCATATGTAAATTTAAATTATTCATCATCCGTTTATGAAGGTGGATCTAATCGTGTATACACGCACTAGGTTAGGTATTTGCATACAAAACTACGTTTCTACGTGGCTAAATCTATATTACTCATCTAGCTTTAACCTAAATAAATGTTAGTCGACATATTGTGTAGACTTTTATAAATTATTGGTAATATAAAATCTAATGGATTGTAAAATTAAATTGTATATTCTAACATTTTTTGAGTTAAGCGCTAATTTGGTTAATATTGTCGGCTGGCACCGACTTCGAAAATATCTGTTTAGGTATCTATTCTAAATGAAAACTACCGTTTAGTTAATTTTTACATTTTAGTCCATGGAAGTCGTTTTTATTTTTCCATTTTTAGTGTAGACGTAGTAAGCAGGTAATTTGTAAGAAGGAAGTTTTTTGATAACATATTCGATTAATAACAATTTATTTAAAAAATATATTTATTGTTGTTTTTTAAAACACCGCTCGACCGATTTCTATAAAATTTATATGAGACCACCTGGGAATTATACCTTTTGAAACAAAAAAAATAATCCAAATCGGTTCAGGCGTCTTTGAGTAATCGGTGAACATACATAAAAACAAGATTCTGACGAATTGAGAACCTCCTCCTTTTTTTGGGAAGTCGGTTAATGAAAAAGATAAAATCGAGAAAAGAATTTCGGCATTTTATACGCTATACATACATATATATCTATAAATTACACCTCACTTACTGGGTTACTGATTAAATAAAACAATTTCACTATTTAAGCTACAATAATGATCATTATCACTAAGAAATTGTTTTTGTGCATTGCATATAAAACTTTAAACAGGTCGTGTTTATAGCTATTATGTATATAAATAAAAATAGTTTAAAAACTCAAGTACTTTCCCACCAGTATGACAAGAGTGATAATTTGTGATTTTTTTCTCAGGTCACAGTGTAGGTGAGCTTGGCTGCGCATACGCAGATGGTTGCTTCGACGCCGAGCAGATGATTTTATCGGCTTATAGCAGGGGACTGGCTTCAATTGAAACTCCATTCATTAAGGGATCCATGGCGGCTGTCGGCCTTGGATATAACGAGGTATATAATATATCAATATTATATATTTTTAAATGTCTAGTGTGAAACATTATCGATTGAATTTAATCGTTTGGCACCTGTTACGCATTATCTTACTCTTACAAGAAATGGAGTCAACTGGCTTTCAAAGCGCGGGTTACAATTGTTAAATAGTTTTTACAAGATTTTTTATTATCTGTGAAAATTTGATTTGTTTTGAACTAATTATCCTTCCAAATTTTCAAATAACTAAAATTTAAAATGTTATTTCTAGATCAAAAATATAATTCCACCCGAGATCGAAGTAGCATGCCACAATGGGCCCGACTCCAGCACTATTTCTGGACCAGCAGACATCATGAAGAGTTTCGTTGCTAAGTTGGTAGCTCAAGGAGTATTCGCCAAGGAAGTGCCTTGCTCAAACATTGCTTACCATTCCAAATACATCGCTGAAGCCGGTGAATCATCTTTTAAAAATCTTTTATTGTTATAAATATAATAAGCGGGTGAATGATTTTAGTTTTTCGGCCGTGACTTAATTGGCTGAGATTTTGATAGCGTAACTCCTAAAATGAGAGAGGTAATCAAAAAAAATAATAAAAAAAAATCGCTAAGCGGATGAAAGGGGGTAACAAAATTTGTATAAAGATACAGTAATTTTGGGCATTAAAAAGTCCTTCGACATGGCTGAGGTGGTTGGTTGAAATTACTATAATATGTAGACGGATTTCGTGATATTTTTTATTATTTTCTCTTATAACATTGCATTCTTAGATTAGATTTATTTGCTGATTTTAAATATTTTATCCGTAGATTAAGTTGCTAAGATTAGAATGGCTTAGCTTCTGAATTAATAGCATGGTATTTCGACAGGTCCAAAACTATTAAAATACTTAAGAGAAGTGATTCCAACACCAAAACCAAGATCGGAGAAATGGGTGTCCACATCAGTGCCGCAAGCGTTATGGAAAGATCCGAAAGCTCAGATGTCATCTGCAGAATACCATACTAATAATTTATTGGTATGTTACTTAATATAAGAAATGCTTTATCATTTTAGTTATCTTGTTTGATTTGTTTTAAATTTGAGCAATTTGTTACGGGTCTCCTAATATTTATTTTTTGCCCATTTTGAACAGTTCCAGTCATGGCTTCGACTCTAATTGTTTTAAGGGATTTCAATTTTTTTAATTTTCTATTTGAACAGAGTCCAGTACTTTTCGAAGAGACATCTCGTCTCATCCCATCAAATGCTATTACCATTGAAATAGCTCCTCATGGACTCCTGCAAGCAATCTTACGTCGCTCTTTAAAGAAGGACGTAATCAACGTTCCCCTGACAGAAAAGAAACATGAAGATAACGTACAAGTGTTGTTTACTGCTTTGGGCAAGTAAGTATAAGTTGAAAATTAGATTTATGATATATGTAATTTATATGAGAGAACATAATATGAACTCAGCTAAAAATGTCTTGTATCCAATCATATCCGTATAATATACTTGGAAATATTTTTATCAAACCAATAAGATGATTATATTGTCGCGATGCAATGACTTTTCAAACAGTATTCTACAATGAATCGAATAATAGTACTCGAATAATACTTTTAACAATTATATTGTCCTTTAGGTTGTACGAGGCTGGTTTGAATCCTCATTTAGCGGAGATATACCCTCATGTGCCGCTTCCAGTGTCTCAGGGCACTCCCATGCTATCCCATCTTGTAGAATGGGAACACAGTGAGGACTGGTGAGTAACATTTTTATGTCATAAATATATATACGCCGCGTGCCCTTATTAGAATTTTCTATCTCAAGAACTTATAAACAAAAGTCGAATATTAACTTGTACGACACCTAAAAAAATGAGCTTTCATACAAATATTTCTTCCCTATTTAACTACTAGGTATACCTACTATTTAAAAATTCAGTGTTTTACTTATTGTACGAGTATTTATTGTGCTAAATAGTCTTTCTGAACAGTTGGTTCAAACAGCGCATTTACGTGTTGCCAACGGTTTAAGAAGTGCGTTGTTAGTCAGTGAGTTAATTTAAGATTTTTATTATTTTTATGAAATTACATTCATTTGGAAGGTCTGTCTGGCAACTTTCCTAGTTTCCTTCACCGTAAGACTAGTGGTAATGAAAATATAAGAGGTGTGAGACCCGGGATTTGAACCCGCTTCACTCTGATTCCTAAGCAAGCGCGTTATCACTGGGCTAACACTGCCTTTTACTTATACTGTACTTATACTATAAAACGTAACTTATTTAATTATAATCCAACAAGAGAATTGGAGGCAGTTTTTACGCGTAGACTGACTCGACGCAATAAAGTCGTACGAATATTAATAGTAGAGCATCCATCACGTGGCCGCAAACAAATCGCTCCCACAGGGTTGCTATCGCAGTAAATAATATTTGAATTTAATTAATACTTTTTTGGAAATAAGTTTTTTTTTAAATACTATTGATGTTCACTCAGCTCTCATTTTTACCGTATACTTCTTTCTCATAGGAACTACAAAACGTTAGCTATAACATTTTAGTATTCATAATAACACCTCCAGGTAAATTTTTAAGAAATTAATTAAATTTCTAAGAAAACTATTGTTAACTGACACACCGGCGTGTCCGCGATCGCAGAGGGAATAATATTAGATCTGTATATCTTGAGGACTAGCACTTGCTATAACTCCGAATGGTTCCATCATTTTTCTATAACGACCTTATAATATTATAAATCAACAATAATGACTTGTCTTACGACTTTTAGCTTCGCTGTGTATATATATAAAAAGAACATAACTATTAAATTGAAGTAATTTAAAAAAATGTTTAGAAATAATTTCCTATAATTGCTTCGAAAGATAGCAATAACAAATTTTAATTGGTTTCTCTCCCTAGCATAACGAAAACTCGACTTATAAAGAGTTGATGGCCCTAAAAACTTAAATTGAATAGGCTGTCTAGGACGCCAGTGTCGGCCGCGCTATTCGTAAAAATAAATACGCCTGTCTAAACCAAACACTCGACAGCCCTACTCTGAACTGATCTATTGCGCTCACTTTGTTCATCAAATATAATGTTGCGGTATTTTTCAACGTATGAACGTTGATTAAGTGTTAGGAATTAAAACGTGACTGTAATACATTGTTTGGTTCAACATGATTCCTAAATATTAGTAAAACCTAAGCTCCATTTAGAAATATCGTAAAAATAAATAAAATAACAAAAAACTAAAAAGAAAGGAATAAATATACAAAAGAATGGTAAATGCCACTTTTTGTTACCGATACATGAAATTTTTGTTGTGGGATATTATTATAATTCTATTGAAAAAATACTGAATGGAATATGGTTTGGCGTGAGTGAGGTGAGAGTAGGCCGCTAATAAATAATATATCGGATCGCTTGTCAAATTTTCCTCATTGTACAGGCTTAGAGCCTCAAATCAATTAGGACAAAGCAATGTTGATATTGTGTTAATGTCATAACATAAAATATATATATATTTTTTTATTTAATAGGTATGTAACATCGTATAAGGCCCAAGAAAAGATGAAGTCCGGAGAAAGAACTGTAAGGATGTCTATAGTAGATGAAGACAGCGAATACATGGCCGGTCACGTCGTAGATGGTAAAACGCTAACATTTTTAAAGGATCATTAGAACTTGCCACCCTTTAAGCCATTCAGTGGTTCAAACGGGTTTTCTCTTTGTTCGTAATGAATTTGTAGTGAACATGAGTCTTTGTATATATATTCCTACACAACCTCTTTCCTACACAATAATAATATTGATTTTAACTATATTTTATTTAGTTTGGCCATGCTGAAATACGGTAATCTGAATCGTATGTAACAAGGATAAAAATATAAACGAAATAATATAATTTATATCTGTGTCTTAACTTAAATAATTATTTTACAATTTCTTTTGAGTAGTATATATATAAACAAAAATTATAATCCGTTCCATAGGTCGCAACTTATACCCTGCAACGGCTTATTTAGTCATGGTGTGGGAAACTCTTGGTATGATGATGGGAGAGTTGTATACTGAAGTGTCGGTTGTGTTCGAGAATGTTCGATTCCAACGAGCGACCAATATACCTAAGGAAGGAAACTTGGAATTTATTGTTATGATACAAAAGGGCAGTGGACATTTTGAGGTATGATTTCTTTGGGATTTGCTTGCATTCATGAATTGTTGACAATATTTAAAAAAAATATAAACGTGTAAAACATATCAAACTGAAGACTAAAGATATTTTGTTTATTCGTTTCACACTGAAAAAAACTCATTTTCGATGTCGCAGATTAATAAAGGCAATAGGAATTTATATTGAGTAGTTTAAATAAAGTACTTTATATATCGTAGTTTACGCAAAATAACCGCCAAATATTTAATGGGTTGCTTTAATCTCTTCCCCTTTTGTACAAATTGTAATTTTTTAGATTGTAGAGAGTGGAGCATCAATCGTAACTGGTCGAATCTACGCTAAGAAAAACGTCGGTCAGGACTTCCGCGCGCTGCCCGCCGAGCCGGAAGCTACTGGGCCTAACGTAAAGCACATGTTAACTAAGGACTTCTATAAAGAACTGCGTCTTAGAGGATACCAATACAGGTATTTGCAAATATGTTGAAACGTATAAATACACTTATTTTGTTATTTATATTAACTGCAGTCGATATTTTTAGCAATATATTTTTGAACGTTTATTTCTATTATAATTTAATTATTCTATAAATACGTGTACTAATTATAATTTGTATGCTGGCTAAGTTTTCCCACTGAATGTTTATCTCTAAGTAAACAACGTGCTAGCCCTCTTGTCACCGGTAGAGGCGATGAAACGAGGAACTACATCTCCCTTACATTATCTATGTCTATAAGATATGCCTTGTTGTCTCTTCGTACAGCCGTTATAGATTTGGAAATCCTAGGTTCGACTACTGAGTCGGGCCAAGTATTGGATTTTTCTTTTAAGGAGTTCTCAATAAAACCGTGAATTGGGAATATAATATAGAATAGCGATGTTTCACTTTCGTACCTTGAGAGAAGAGTACGCAAAGTGGTCGATCTTGTGCCTAATCTTCCATCGCCCATGACGAGTTCTTGTCCCACCAGAGTTGGAAAGTAACAAGAATACATAATACACATGGATAGTCTCTAAGAGATTAGTCGCCGTGGTCAAAATCGATCAGACCCTTGTTATTATTACTATAGAATATATTTTTTTTTAAATTAAAAATGGGCTTACTCATGTTTACCTTTATCTTAGTTCGGAGGCATAGATAAGATCTACGATCTAGCGATTTTGCCCAGGAGAAGCCTGTTAACACGCACCTTATATTAATAAAAATTGTTTTATTGTAGTGGTCTCTTCCGCGGTGTAATCGGCTGCAACGTAGAGGGTACTCGGGGCCGTCTAGCCTGGGTCAATAACTGGGTCACTTTCATGGACTGTATGTTACAAATGAAAATCATAGGACAGGATACGAGAGGTCTTTTCGTACCAACCAGGATAGAAAGACTGTCCATTGATGCAGGAATCCATTACGATGCCATTTCTAAAATGAACCCGGATTCTACTAGACAGAGCTTTGAAGCAAGGGTCTATCCATTCGTTGACGTTATAAGGTGAGTTTGAATAGTATTTTTATTTAGTAAATATTGTATCAACATTTTTTTTAATATATTTTATTATAAAGTTTATTTTTATTATGAAATGTTTATCATTATTTATGGAACTTAATCTATGTATATATTATTAAAAAAATACATACAGACAAACATAGAACCTCCTCCTTTTTGGAAGTCGGTTAGATACTTTTTATTACTTCTTCATGCTGAAATGACTGAACGATTTCAACGAAATTTAGTACAGACAGACTATGTGACTCATAGGCTAGTGTTAGACATCTACGGTAAATTAGCAAAGCGATGGTATGTCGCAAAATTTATATAAAAATGATAAAATTAACATTTAATATTAATTTTATTAAAACAGGGCTGGAGGAGTCGAAGTGCGAGGGCTTCATGCTACACCTATTTCAAGGAGGATACCTCTTGGAGTTCCTGTATTGGAAAAGAACGTTTTCATCCCTAACTTTGGAAAGTCAAAGATGAAGGTAGCTGGTGTTGTTACTTATATTATTATATTTATTAATTCTATAGTAGCCATGTTTTTAGTTAAATTTCATATAAAACCTAATTTTAGATGGAAGACATCCTCCGAGCTGACATCCAATTGATTCTCGAAAACATACAAACATATAAAGTTAAAAGCATCGAAATAGTTGATGAAGAGTACAAGAAACACAACTTAGAGCCTATTATGGAGAAAGTAGCAGATGTTTTGGGTGATTTGCCATTGGTTCAGGCTGATTTAACGGTGTATACTGAAGAGCCATTAGAAATGCCATCTAATATCGTAGTTGAGACGAAAAAGCTTGTTGGTGAAGCAAATACTATTATATTCGTTGGGGCTAATTTATTACAAAGACCGGAAGTAAGTTTTGAAAAGATTTCTTTTTATTCCTGTTTTCATATTTATACTTATATTATAAAGAGGTAAAGATTGTGGGTTTGTGAGTTTGTAGGGGGTAATCTCTAGATCTACTGAACCGATTTAGATGAAATTTGGGAAGAAGATTGTTTGGGACCCTGGGAAGGACATAGGATAGGATTTTTTATTCCGGAAATCATCGCTTAAGGGGGTGAAAATGGGAATGAAAGTTTGTATTGGGAAGCAAGCTAGGGACGAACCCGAGTGAAGCGAGTGTGAGTCGCTAGTATATAATAAAATGAATAGAACTCACAATAATTTTATGTAATTTCTATTTATTTCTCAATAAAGAAATTTTTCATCTAGAAATAAATTCTAACACCTTTTTAAAATATTTTTAGGTCTTAAAGCAAGGGCTTCTAGCACTGCGTGATAAGTGCTTTATAATAAGCCGAGAAATAGAGCCAATTAATACCAAAGACTATTCTGATAAATTCGACATTGTTTCCATTCAAGACACTGGCTTTGAATACATAGTTCTTTTCCGAAAACGTGTAGGTGCAAAACCGGCTAAATTCATCAAAATAGTTACAGCTGATCAAACATACGCCTGGGTTGACAAAGTTAAAGAAGAACTTAAAGCTGGTCAAAAACTCGTTATTTACAGTCAAAATGAACCTTTTAATGGGTTATTAGGTTTGATTAACTGTTTAAGAAGAGAACCAGGTGGTGAAATAGTACATGGTATGCTCATATCTGATGCATCTGCCCCGGAATTCAATCCAGACTTGGAATTCTATGAAGACCAATTGGATAAGGATCTAGCTATTAATGTGTATCAAGACGTAAGTGTTTTTAGTTAAAATTAGATTTAATTTAACAGATTATTTTTATTAAAATAGAGATAATCCTATTATAGTTGAAGATTGAAATTACTAACGTAGTCATGATGATGTTGTTTGATTGAAGTATTTTCAATTGTCATTTCAAATTTTTTTTCTTTGATTTAGCAAAGTGGTTTAGACGGTTCAATAAACATTTTCCTATTGTTATTTTTTGCATAACTTATTATTTATTGTTATTTTTGTGAGAAAACAAAAAGTGTAACCAATATTTAATTTAGATCCTGTAAATGAAATACTGTCTGAATAAAGGCTTTTTATTTATTTACACTTTATTGTGCACCACAATCATGGAGTAACCTATTACCTATTATTATTATTTTTATTTCCATAGGGTAATTGGGGAACGTACCGACATCTGCTGCTTGGTGATTTAGAAACTATTGTTGCTCATCACGCTTTCGTAAATACTCTCACTATTGGTGACTTATCCACACTGAGGTGGCTTGAAGGTGCAATTAGAAAAGATACGGTTTTCAAGGATCCAAATAGCATATTGTTACATGTAAGTACACATTTAGCATTATACATACATTTAACATTTTTTACGTTATTTTTTGATATAGTAATATTAATGAAAATTTCTGATTTCTTGTTCCTGCGTTTTTTAGAGAAGTTATGATTACAGTATTTTTTATTAAAAAAAAAAACTTTTAATTTTTTAGAAAAAAACGATAAAAGAACGAGAACGGGGACGAACAGCCACTTTGGAAAGATTTTTATAGAAAAAAACATTAAAGTTTCTAGTAAATACTCAATTAATAAAGTATAAGATATAATAAAAGAATGTTTTGTCTACATTTAGGAATGACAAAGTTCTATTAATAAGCTGAATGATTTGTAAAGTATCTATCGCAGGCTTTTAAAATTGGCCAAACTGAATTAAAAGTTATTTCTCGTAGGTGTACTGTGCGGCATTAAATTTCCGTGATGTTATGACAGCCATGGGCCGCGTTACAGTAGACGCAGTAGCCAGGGGTCGTCTTGCTCAAGAATGTGTGCAAGGTTTCGAAATTGTTGGCAGGGCTCCTAAGTAAGTATTTTAATATTCTCAATAAAGTCTAAGCAAGCTTAACTTCAAGAAATTAAAAATATAATTGAGAAACAGCTAGTATGAAAAAAAATGTATTAAATATGATATACTTCTTTATTAGATGTGCAAGGCTGAATTTATATATAAAATATATGCATTTATTATATCAAAACATTTCATTCATTCATGTTTTTAGTGGTAACCGAGTGATGGCCATGGTCAAGAATAGTGGTATGGCCAATATGGTGGAAGCAGACAAAGCACTTATGTGGAGCATCCCAGACGAGTGGACGTTCGAAGAAGCTGCTAGCGTACCAGTAGCTTATGGGACAGTTTATTATGCTTTGGTAAGACATTTGTATTTATTTGAAGTTAAAATAATCTGAAGGTGTAGAAATTGGTTAACTGTAAGAAAGTGAGAAAAAAGATTGCGAGTATCGCGACTGCAGTAAAAAAAGTTTTATATAAGATTTTTGGCAACATAATTAATTAATATTAGTAATTTTGTCAAACAATAAATATAAAATTAGTTTTGTAAAGTACCTACGTACTTTTATTTTTTATTACATCGTAGGTAATGGTAGGAAAAGTCCGTCATGGGGAGTCTATCCTCATCCATGCTGGGTCAGGAGGAGTAGGGCAGGCTGCGATCAATGTGGCTCTTCATTATGGATGTGAAGTATTCACAACTGTTGGTACACCGGAAAAGCGAGCTTTTATCAAGAAGCTTTTCCCACAACTCAAAGGTACGATTTTTAAAGTAACTTTTTTATATCATCTCCTTTACAGTGTAAAGTATGCACTAATGTTGTATATGATTTTGTACCGTATTATAAAAATATCGATTTTTTCATGACAGATAGTCACATCGGTAACTCACGTGACACATCCTTCGAAGACATGATTCGAAGAGAGACTAACGGCAAGGGAGTGGACATGGTTCTTAACTCCCTCTCCGATGAAAAGTTACAGGTAGATCAATATAATTTGAGGATTTTACTAATTTTAATTTCTTACAATATTAGTATTAATTAACCAAACATTATAATAGTCATTTAATTTTATTTTATAAAAATAAATGCTTGTTTATTTATAATAATAATGTTTTATAAGGCGTCCGTCCGTTGCCTTGGTTACCGCGGGCGTTTCCTCGAGATTGGCAAGTTCGATATCAGCAACAACACGCCTATTGGAATGTACTTCTTCCTGAAGGAGACGTCCTTCCACGGCATCATGTTGGATTACATCTTTGACCAGAGCTACGAGTTCAGAAAGGTATAGTATTTTATTGTTATTTTTCTCATTGCCATAAATGACAAGACTACGAAAAGCTTATTATATAATAACTGGTTGTTGCTAATAAAAAAAAATTCTTTGCTTTATTCATAATATAGACTTATTACTATAAAAAAATATTTTGTAAATAGTGTCTTCAAGACCTCCTGCTCTCGGGTATCGAAAGTGGCGCAGTGCGACCCCTCACTTACTGTACTTTCCCGCTTGATCAAATCGAGCCTGCTTTCAGATACATGGCTGCTGGAAAACATATTGGAAAGGTAACTTGTACTTGACATCAAATATTTTTGTACTACTATTATAAATACGAATTTGTATGTGTATCTGTATGTTGGATACTCCTTTACGCTCAAACGGCTGGACGGATTTGGATGAAATTTAGTACTCGGATAAACAATATCCTTTTTTTTAACGTTTGGAAATGCATTACGCACGAGGTGTGGGACTCACCAGCAAAGCCAGTACTACCCACTAAAACCCAACAAAATCTTTCCCCGTCTTAATAGGGCGTCGCAGGATCGCTTACGCATTCAACTACGACGCTCCGACGGCAGGTCTGCCGAAGCAGACTACAACAACCACGGGGTTGCTCCTAGGTCCACTCTGCTATCAGAGAAGTATCAGGAGCAACCCGCATGGTACACCGCCCACCAAAGAGGGCCACCTCCCACCGCCCACTGAAGTGGGCCACCTCTCTGTGCGTTTCTTGGCTTCGCGCCCGGCTGGTTTGCTGGGCACTACTGAGTCCCCCCACCACGACGAGGTGAACGCACGTTTGGAGTAGCGGTAAACAATAACCTGGACTAACGGATAGGTTCGCTCGAGTACTTCTCTAACAACAGTGTTAGGAATGTACACGAGTGAAGCGAGATTTAGCTGCTAGAGATTTATAAAAATACAAAAGTACATATATTTCTGTTTTCGATTTGTCTTGTTAAAAGAATATCTCAGCTATGGAGCACTAGCGTACATAATTTTTCTGCATGGAGTATATGGACCTGAGAATGCCATAGCATTTTAACTCTACATCTGGTGGATCGAAGATAGGATAGCAAAAAGTTAATAAATACCAGTAACACGTGATATTAGTAGATACAATAAAAATAATGTTATGAAAACCCTTTTCAGAATTTCTTTTAGGAGACTGTAAACATTTCTTGACTATCATCATAATTATATTTGAAATTTCATAAATAAGAAATTATCTTTGATTTTCGTCCCTTAGGTTATCATCAAGATACGCGAAGAAGAGCGCACAAGCCGTCCAGTAAAACCTGTTGACATGCCGATTCGTGCATTGCCTAGGTAACAGTAAGCATTCTTAAGTAAAATAAAAAAAGTATATATATTTATTTATTTATTTATTTATTTATTTATTTATTCAAACAAAATCCACAGCTACATACAAAAAAAAATTGTAAGTACAAAACTAAAACCTTACATAAGCCAATTACGGATTTACATTATTTAGGCAATATAGAAAGGTAGACTAAGTTTACATTTATTTAAGAAAAGGCAAAACAAAAAAAAAACATGCATTTATATATATATATATATATATATATATATATATATATATATATATATATATATATATATATATATATACTAGGCATGCCTTTTAAGTTCTGTCGTTTCCATATTTCCCGGCAATTTTGAATTTGTAACTGTTACATATTCGAATGTGTTTAAATTTTGAATCTCAAAACAGTTGAAAGTTTTAGGATTAATGCTATTGTTTAGTCACAGCGTCGATTGGAATCTGTCAGGTTATGTACGAAAATGAATCTTTCTAAGGAAAATGTTCGTGCAATAATTTTCTACAACTTTAGAAGAGGCCTGACACGGCTTCAGTGTTTTGAAGAGCTAATATCAGTTCAGTTATGAAGCCCCATGTCTGCAGACTGTCGAACGCTGGTATTTAGAATTCCAGCGTGGACATACTAGTGTTAGTGACAAATCTCGCGAAGGACGCCCAAAATCCGCCTTCACTAAAGATAACATTATTGCTGTGAGACAACTAATTCTCGAAGATCGTCATGTGACATATCGAGAGATAGAGGCTTTATTAAGCATCTCAGGGACAACATCTTGCATGAAGCGCTTGGTGTGAGAAAGTTAGTTTGCCGTTGGATACCGCATCTGCTTTCCGACGATCACAAGGCGGCCCTCGTCAGATGGTGTAAGAAAACTCTGCAAAGGTTCAACCGAGGAGAGTCGAATCTTGGATCTATGCCTACGATCCTGATTCCAAACAACAATCTACAATCTGGGTCTTTCAAGACGAGCCAAAGCCGACTAAAGTTTTTCGTTCTCGAAGCACTTCAAAGAAGATGGTGGCCACGTTCGTTGGAAAAACCGGCCATGTTGCGACTATTGCACTTGAAGATCGTAGAACGGTTAACGCAGAGTGGTATACCACAGTTTGTTTACCACAAGTCATCGCCGAACTTCGAAAATCTAACTCAAAGCGACGCATCATCCTGCACCACGACAACGCAAGCTCACACAGCGCTCGTCAAACGATTAAGTATTTGAAGCAGGAAAAAGTAGAAATTCTTGACCATCCTCCATACAGTCCTGACCTAAGCCCTAACGATTTCTTTACATTTCCAAAAATTAAGAAAAATCTTCGTGGTCAAAGGTTCCAGTCCGGTGAAGAAGCAGTCGACGCTTTCAAGTCAGTCATTTTGAACACCCCCACTTTAGAGTGGAATAAATGTTATAATAACTGGTTTGAGCGAATGGAAAAGTGTATTAAGCTACGTGGTGAATACTTTGAAAAACAATAAAAAGTACTATAAGGTTCTAGTTGTGTTTTTTTCTTCAAACGACAAAACTTAAAAGGCATGCCTCGTATATATGTAAATAGGGCAAGATCGAACAATTCAATACCTTTTCCCCGTTGGCCTGTTGAGGCCTATGTTATGGATACCAGATAGTTGATACACTACACATCTAGCATGTACGGCTGCACACTCGAAGGTCCTGGGTTCGAGTCCCGGGTCGGGGATAAGTTTAGTTATTGAGTCTTTCTGTATAGTAAGTCTCAGTAACAGCCCAGATTTGGAAAGTTGGCAGTGTTTCACCTCCGTGAGCACGTAAAGCCGTTGGTCCTGGGCCTTAACTGGTCGTGTCGAGTGGTCGTCCCACCGGAGTATGAGAATGACAGGAAAAGAGAGTGCACGTTGTGTCTGCGCGTACACTTGTGCACTATAATATCTCCTGCGCCGTTCGCTCGTCTTAATGAGATTGGCCGTCGTGGCCGGAATCGGCCAGGAGAACATCACACTACACATATTTAAATACATAAATAACATACATTTTTAAATACATAAATATTATAAATTGAACACCCCTGACTGGAGTACAAACATACGTGCTCATCACACAAATAATACTCCCACGGGGACTCGAACCCGCGACCGTTGGCACACAGCAAGTAGGGTCACTCCAAACTGAGCCAAACGTGTCGTTAATTGATTAGTTTACCTTTTTTGTATAGAAACATTATAAGTTTATGTTTACTTCATTTTATGTAAACATCGAACACAATTCCAACTATTAAGAGTATAATACAGATTTCGTATCGCGTGCACTTCTGTGTATTAACAGTATTACAGTAATATTTGTTTTTTTTATTACAAACAATAAAAAATATATATCTAAAGCCTATTTTCAGTAAACCTCACATATACACACATATTTGAAACGATACTTGATTCAAAGTGTGATTTGACCTATGTTTTGAAAGCACTTTGATTTTAAAATATAATAATATATTTAATCACTTTTACGTTCTTCTGTTATCAAGAAGATAAAGAAATTCTAGTGACATATCTACTTTTTCTTTATCCATTTTTATTATTCTTCTTTTTCGTTTGTCCAGGTATATATGCAACGATGAATTAGTATACATAGTAGTCGGTGGTCTCGGAGGCTTTGGACTGGAATTGGCGGATTGGCTAATTTTGAGAGGAGCAAGGAAAGTGCTATTGACGTCAAGACGTGGTATTAGTAACGGATATCAAGCCTCAAGGATAAAGTAAGTTCTAATATGGTAATTTTATGTTATACTAGTGGCTTACCCACAAAAAAAAACAAAAAATCTATTCCAAGAGAATCGTACATTTTCCGGGATAAAAAGTAGCTGATGTGTTATTCCAGATATCTATCTCTGTGTCAAATTTCATCTAGATCCGTTCAGCCGTTCCGGCGTTAAAGAGTAACATTCATACTAACAAACTTTCACATGTCATTTATAATATTAATACGGATTTCTAGGTTTTGCTCGCAGTTTATTTATGTAGCATGATAATAGATAGCATTCAATAAATAGCCTACGAAGTGCAAAAAATTAAATGTCAATGATAATGTCAGAGATTAACGCATTTGAAGAAACACAAAACAAACTGTTCGTCTTAGTAGTATTAGTGTATTTAACTGCCTCAGTGGTGTAGTGGCTAGCATGTACGGCTGCACACCCGGAGGTCCTGGGTTCGAGCCCCGGGTCGGGCCAAGTTTAGTTATTGAGTCTTCCTGTATAGTAAGTCTCAGTAACAGCCCGGAGTTGGGAAGTTGGTGGTATTTTACCACCGTGCCTCGGAGAGCTCGTAAAGCCGTCGGTCCTGCGCCTTAACTCTCACCGGTCGTGTCGAGTGGTCGTCCCACCGGAGTATGAGAGTGATAGGAATAGGGAGTGCACTTGTGTCTGCGCGTACACTTGAGCACTATAATATCTCCTGCGCAGTTGGCTAATCTCATTGAGATTGGCTGCCGTGGCCGGAATCGGCTAGGAGAACATCATCATTAGTATAGATATACTGTATTTCATATTAAAGGCATATTTTTAACAGGCTGAGTTATTTTTTCTAAATAATTTTTATATTGCTTTTCGCAAAAGATAAGTAGGTATATAAATTGTTTTAGGGTTGGGTTTGGCATAACTTTTTGACGAGTAATAAGTATATACATGTATATCTATGTAAATAAATAAATATGTTGGGACATTAACACTCAGCACCATCTAGTTCCATGGTAAGCAACCGCGAGTCTCGTGTTATGGATACTAGATAGTTACTACACATATATAACTTTAAATACATACATATTATAAATATAAACACCCATGACTGGAGTACGAGCATTAGTGCTCATCGCACAAATGAAAGCCCCCAGCGGGACTCGAACTCGTAGCTGGCACAGCAAGTAGGGTCACTACAAACTGAACCAAACGTGTGGTCACTATATGTTTGTATATATGTTTAATTTATATGTATATTTTTGACGAAAAATATACATATACATTATAAAAAAACAACAAGAAATTTATTCTCCTACTAAGATTGTATTTCTGTTTTACTCAGAGCTTGGACCGGCTATGGCGCTACTGTGCAAATATCGACTCACGATGTAACAACAGAAAAAGGATGTGAAGAAATGCTCAATATGGCGAATTCCATGGGCCAAGTTGAAGCTATATTTAATTTGGCTGTTATTTTAAAGGATTCGATCTTCCAAAATCAAACTCCAGAGAAGTTTAGGATTTCATTCGCGCCAAAAGCTGAAGCTACTATGAACTTGGATAAACTTTCAAGAAAACTGTGCCCCCAATTGAAGTAAGTCTATATAGATGCTATAATTTAATTATATGTTTTAGTTTTATAAATCATCATATTATTAATATATTATTTATAAAACCTTTTTAAAATATATTTTTTAACACTGTATGTACTCTTTGCTTATGAATTAGGTACTTTATGTCTAAAATGAATATATATTCACAGATTAACTGTCCGCAAAATAGACACAATAGTTAAACAATCGAAATGTTCATATATGACTCATGGGACAGGGAAAGAGTTAATGCTGTTTCATCATACGTTAGCGACTTATATTTTGCTTAGTGTGCTTTTCCGCATTTAAATCTGGCTAACTAAAATATGATGTCAATAAAATATAATATCCTCGCTTGGCTCGAATTCGTCCCTGGCTTGCTTCCCAATACAAACTTTCATCACCATTTTCACCCTCTTAAAGGATGATTTCCGGGATAAAAATTATCCTATGTCCTTCTCAGGGTCTAACTATCTCCTTACCAAATTTCATCTAAATCGGTTCAGTAGATCCAGAGATTACCCCCTACAAAGCCACAAACTCACAATCTCACAAACTTTACCTCTTTATAATATTACTATAATATATACTGATATAACTGTCTCGGTGGTGTAGTGGCTAGCATGCACTGCTGCACACTCGGAGGTCCTGGGTTGGAGTCCCGGGTCGGGCCACGTTTAGTTATTGAGTTTTTCTGTATAGTAAGTCTCAGTAACAGCCCGGAGTTGGGAAGTTGGCGGTGTTTCATCCTCGTACCTCGGAGAGCACGTAAAGCCTTCGGTCCTGCGCCTTAACTCTCACCGGTCGTGTCGAGCAGTCGTCCCACCGGAGTGTGAAAGTGACAGGAATAGAGAGTGCACGTTGTGTCTTCGCTCTCCCTCACACGCGCTGCACTATAATATCTCCTGCGCAGTTGGCTAGTCTCAATGAGATTGGCCGCCGTGGCCGGAATCGGTCAGGAGAACATCATATATACTGACTGCGCCACTTTTTGTCAAATTTTATTACGTATAGCCCACTCCACTCCAGGCCAGTATAGATACGACCTAAATTTTATACAAATCGGTCCATTTGATTGAGCGTGAACGAAAAACAAACATACATACATACAAATATTATGTATTTATTTTATTTATTTTAATAAATAAAATATACAATATTTAAATGATCTTGATGATGATTAAATGATGATGAATATATAATTGAAGTGTGATTATTTAAATGATCTTCCATTGATTTAATCTGACTCGAACAGGGATTTCGTGATATTCTCATCCGTGTCATGCGGTCGCGGTAACGCTGGACAGACTAATTACGGGTTCTCTAACTCCGTGATGGAGAGGATCTGCGAGTGGAGGAAGCAGCTCGGACTTCCCGCACTTGCTGTTCAGTGGGGAGCTGTTGGTGATGTACGTATACTATATTATCAACTATTAACATTTTACTGTTATTTACATCGATCAAAAAAGGACTAAATACACAATCAGCGACAAAAATGTCCTTACTGAATGAGCGGTCATTTGAACATTTGAGCGCGCTTTTGATTTTTTTTTGTAAAAACAACTTTATGCATTGCATTTAAGGTTCAATTTACATTGTTTGTTGTATATTTATTTCAACTAGAATCATTACCTAAACACAATTTGTGACAGTTTTAAGAAAACTTTTGCATGGGATTGTGTACTTTTTGATCTATGGTTATATAGTATATTTTATATTGAAATTCTTACTAATAATAGTTTCTTTTTTGTCTCTTGTAATGAAGTCATTAGTCAAGTCAAGTGATTTTTTTTCATTTGAGAATATAGTTTTTTCTTTTAATATATTAAGTAGTTTTCGGGCGATATTGCAAGAAGTAATAAGGGATATATATATATATATATATATATATATATATATATATATAAACAAGAAAAAATTAAATAGTAAAGACTTCTTGATGTCCCTCATTGAGCCTCCCCGTGATACGCGAAGGGATCAGGTCCGAATGCATCAAAGGTGTTTCGAAGCCAGTCATGTTTTTAAATATTCAACTTCCCTCAAATTTTCTTTTATCATATAATGAAGTGGTAATCATGTTGATGTTGCGATACGTATATGAGAATCTCCTATATGTAAAACCCGGGTTTGGATGTTCTTATCCTGAACATCCAAACCTAAAGATAACGGAAAACAAAGAAGACAAAATGAAGTGTCTAACCAATCTGCTGTCATTTACTATGTCAAGTATAAAATTAACAAATTAATTATAATAATTGTAATAACTCAAAAACGCTCAGTCAACAAAAGCCTATATAATTAAATTTTTAAAGTAGTCTATAAAAATTTAATTATATAGGCTTTTGTTTACTGAGCGTTTTTGAGTTATTACAATTACTATAATTTTGCTGACTCGTTGGCTTTACAATAATATGTTCTATCAATGCGGGATTTATCGTGAGGCTATTTTCAAACTTAATCGTTTTCTCAATTTAATTATAACTTCGTTTATACTTTCCAAGTTTCATATTAAGCCTTGGGACTATTTTCATAAACATCACGGATTTGGTAGGCTATTGGAATTTAAAATACGCTTATGTTTTATTTCCAATTAGTTTTATTTATACATATTAGTTTATAAATTTATAATAATTATAATAAAATTGTAACCGAGTCGAATCTGTACATTAAATATTTTTTGGGAAAATCTTATTGAAACATCATTCATCATGTTATTATTATCTATACATACAGGGCCGAATCTATAGTTTTTAGAGTTTTTATCTGTCTGTCTGGGAACGTGTCACGAGAAAACCACTGGACAGATTTTGATATAATTTGGTATGATGATAGCTGATTATCCGGGTCAACACATAGGATACTTTTACTGCGGGAAAAAATCTCGTCTCTGAGAAATCTATACTAAACGTTAAAATGTAACTAGCGACGATCCCGAGCGGAGCGAGGGTGAGTCGCTAGTATATGTCAATGCTATATTTTTTCTTGTTATTTTCCTTGTAACGTAAACAAAAAAAAATTATGACAGGTTGTATGTTCTACCTCACGTAATCGACTTCACTCACTCTGGGTCATAAATTATGTATAATAATGCAAAAATCACATTCATGTGTTACCAGTTCCATCAGAAGAAAATTCTACCTAACTTAATTTCGCATTCATATTTTAAGTACGGTTTTAAACTAATCGTACATTACTTACTATTTCCATTATATATACAATGCTGGAAGCCACACTTTCAAAAGTTTTAGGCTGAAAACTTTATTAAGTTTAGAAGATCTGAAAGTTTGAAAGTTTTAAAAGGTTTTGTTGAGACCCTGTTTTAGATACAATATAAAACAATTTCATTGCTTATTGTTAATCGACTTCATTGCTGTTGTTTCTGATTTTAAATAATGCGAATTGCTATTTTAAAAGCTGAGGTATTAGATGTGTCATTGATATGTAACAAATTATTTGTTTATATTTCTTAGTAACACTATCTTTTCGGATTTTTTTGTGGATTTATTTGATTATTGAGTCCCGATTTTTTTAATGCTATACAACAATCATAGTGACGGGGAAGAATGACATGGGGAAATCATTCATTTTTGCAAAGACTTCCAATTTTATCAATAAAAATTTTTATTTTCGTGGAAATTCATACTGAAAGTGAATTAAACCTTTACCACGATAATGTAATGCATACAGTACTCCAACTCGAGCCTGTCCTTGAAATAATTACCTACAGCCGAGCGGCACGTACCCACGCGACAGGGCTGCCCGCCGGCCAGTAGTTTAATTCCATCTACCTACTAATACCTAATATTATATTTTTTATTTAAAACTTTTATTAGTATATTTAATTAAAAAATTGAGATTTAAAAATATTTGCGTCTCGAGTGAGACGTACGAAAAGTTTATTGTTAAATTTAATAGTATAAACAATTCGCATTCCGATAAAAAGTTTAATTAAAGATACTTTAATTTTTAATTTAATTAATTAATTTTTATTTTTAAAACATACGATGTCTCGATACTATTTTGTTTGACATCAGCGAAGTTACGGGAGGAATAAAAATTTTATTTTTGTATCAAAATTATAAAAGTTACATAACATACAATTACCACCATATACAATTTTCGTATCATATTATACGATGTGGCAGCCCCGCACGGTTGTCTACCGAGTGTATACCGAACGCGACGCACGTAGGTATAACTCGATTTCCGACCTTTTGTATGAATATGGAATACTGTATGTAATATTACCGTGCCTTTACATTTGTACGGAATTATTTAAAACTTATGGAAATTAGACATCAATAAAGTAAATGAATTGCCAAATTTGACTTGTCATATGTGACATAATAACTATGAACGTTTAAATTTTCCAAGCTGTTATTGGAAAATTATAATAAAGTTTTATTTATTATGTTGATAAAAGAAACAATTTTAGACGTTGAAGTTAATACATAGAAGAGTAATATAGACGGTCAATTTTTGGGTTACCCTCATCAAATAAAATATGTACTACCAATATTTTTTTATACACGGAAGGTTCTAAGCATTTTAATGGTTTCAAGATTTTTTTTGTTGCTTTTATAATATTACTATTTTCATTTATAATATTACTAGCGACTCACCCTCGCGCGGCTCTGGTTCGTCCCTAAGAACGTTTTAAAGTTTAGTATAGATTTCTCAGAGATGAGATACTTTCCCGCAGTAAAAAGTATCCTATATTATTTCATCAAAATCTGTCCAGTGGTTTTCTCGTAATGCGTTCCTCGACGGAAAGACAAAAATTCTAAAAACTTCGGTCTCTCTATTGATAATAATGACTATTTCAATAAGATTTTCCAAAGAATATTTAATGTACAGATCCGTTTCAGTTAGAATTTTGTTATATGTATAGATTTTGCTCTTGTTCACGTTTACTGTTCTCTGATGAAAATTTCTTTTTAACTGATGAAAAAAAATACACTTTACAGTGCGTTTTATTTTAATGTGAAAGAGATCATAGAAAGATCCATTATTCGTTACCCAATAAATATCATTATAAATCTATAGGTATACGCGAAGCCAAAACTTTGTATCACTTTTTTACGAAAATTGCGCGGTCGGAGGAGTATAAAATTTCCGACAATTATATTTTATATAGAGAAGGAGAGCAGAATATTTTTTTAAAATTATGCATAAAAAAACCGACTTCAAACAAAAGCACTAAAAAGTTAAAAATAACTGATTGGTAGTTTTCATTTACTATACATACCTAATCAAATATTTTCGAAATCGGTGCCAGCCCATACAAAGCAAAGCACACCGACTTCGAAAATATTTGATTAGGTATGTATAGTAAATGAAAACTACCAATCAGTTATTTTTTACTTTTTAGTGCTTTTGTTTGAAGTCGGTTTTTATTTTTTTGTTAAAAAGTTTTTATTTTTCCCTTTTTAGTGTAGACAGTAGTAGCAAAGTAAGGATTCTAACGTGTTAGGCTTGTCAAATCAAACAAAATAAGCCCAAACTCAAAGTATCTACTATTAGCCGTTGAAGAGTTCCACTTATCCACCTTCTGGCCTTGCCATCAGATCAGGTCAACAACACCGAACCACTGTACTATCAACGGAAATAGAAATACTTGCAAACTTTTAAGTCAATATGACAATTAGAAGTAGGTTAAATTCATCATTAGTTGTTTTTCCACCCTTAGAGGTAGTATTTTTATTTGAGTTTTTTTATTTGAAATTTAAATGGGACCAATCTGGAAGTACACCCTTTCAAACAAAACAAAAATTGTCCAAATCGGTGAATAAATGACGGAGTTCTGATGTAACAAACATAAAAAAAAACATACAGTCGAATTGAGAACCTCCTCCTTTTTGAAGTCGGTTGAAAAATACATTAAATCAATAAAAAAAACATTACATACACTAGCATGTATTTGACACACACACGCGTATATATAATACTAGCATTGCCCGCCGCTCCGCCCGCGTTCAGATCATCAAAAACCAATTTTTTTGGTTTTACATATTAGTATACTCTTACATTGCAGTTTTGTATTTTTTCTTAGAATAGAGATATTTTCCCGCGGTAAAAAGTATCCTATATGTTGACCGGGATAACCAGCTATCACCATACCAAATTTCATCAAAATCCCTCTAGTGGTTTTTCTGTGATGCGGTAACAGACAGACAGACAGACAAAAATTCTAAAAACTATAGATTCGGCCTCTGTATCGATAATAATGTTTATTTCAATAAGATTTTTCAAAAAATATTTAATGTACAGATTCGGCTTACTTACAATTTTATTATATGTATAAATATACTCTTTTGTTTATTGTTAAAGTGTGTGGTCAAATTGAGAATTATGTATAGGTACGTGAAGCAAAAACTTTGTATCCCTTTTAAAGAAATTAAAATAATTAAAATAAATATTTTGTTTGTAGATCTCTTTATTTTTTGTTTTAGTTTAATAGCTTTTGACGAGCTTTAGTTTTATAAATTAAAAAAATCTATAATAATCATGGTCGAAGTTCGACCACTCGGCGAACTCTATTTTGATTAAAACCTTGTTCATATGACACCTTTTTACTTTATTTTTTTAACAATTTTTAATTTTTTACTACTGAATATTTGGTTTTAAATCTGTGTACATTGTTAAAAGAAAACTTTATAAAGCTGTACAAAGCAAACTCATTTTGTAAGAAAGTACACCGTCGTACCCGCCGCGATCAGTTCAAACTTAGCCAACGACGGCGTAATCAATCACAGTGACATTTTAATCGAATAGTTATAAAACTAATGTTAGTTCAATATTTATAAATTTGTTAAGAAAATGTTTGTATAATATAATAAAATGAAATATTTTAAATTGTAAATAAAAAGAATATATTTTCTATATATAATATCAATCAATAATTTTTGGTTTTAGTCGAAATTGAAATTATACTTTCGAACAGGTCGGTCTGGTAGCAGACATGCAAGATGAAGACGTCCAGCTAGAAATCGGTGGAACTCTACAACAGAGGATCTCATCTTGCCTGCTATCTTTGGACAAGTTCTTGAAGCAGGATGCTGTGATTGTATCATCGATTGTGGTCGCCGAGAAGAAGGCTGGAGGATCGGGTTGTGGCAGTATTGTTGATGCCGTTGCCCAAATTATGGGTGAGTTGATATATTCTCATTGTTAGCTGTTTTTACTTTAATGAAACTATAAATAATTACAAATTTCGATTCTCATTAAAACTATAATAAGGATATAGAATCTATTTATTTGTAAACACTAGATAATTTAATGCAGTAAAGTGAATGCACTCCTCCCATTTTTCTCTTACGTTTATTCTCTAATCTATGGTGGCTTGAAATCTCTCATTTAGGGGTGAGGCCATCTATTATGCTATATCTTCTTGGATTATTTCTTTTTCTGTGTTGGATATTTATGGAAATTGTATACTCTAAAAAAAATATGTTTTACGTCACTTTAAATCGAATTAAAATTATTTTTCGATAGCAGATAGCTACACTATATTTGAGTAACAATGGCTTATTTTTATTGTGTGGGCGAAAATTATACAAAATTCAATAATTTATTATGAATTCAGGTATCAAGGATCTAAAAACAGTGTCACAACAAGTGTCTCTAGCCGAGTTGGGTATGGACAGTATGATGGCGGTCGAAATCAAGCAGACGTTGGAACGAGAGTTTGAGATATTCCTCACTGCTCAGGATATCAGAACTTTGACATTTGCTAGGTAAGTTCATATTAGTTTGAAGGAATAGAAGTCCATAGTCACAAGATAAATAAACGATAAATAACACTATGTGAAGATATGAAATAAGATTTCTCAAATAGCTAAACATACTTTGATTTATTTGAAACTAGCAACTCACTCTCGCTTCGCTCGGGTTGCTTCCTCATACAAACTTTCATCCCCATTCTCACCCCCTTAAGGGATGATTTCCGGGATAAAAACTATTTCACTCACTCGCTTTTCATATCAAAAATCTTCTTTAAGTAAAAAAAAAATTCTTTTAATTTTCTTCTATACAAAACTTCCTGACAATAACAAACACATAAAAAAGAATTAACTAAAATCGTGCAGTCATCGGAAGTAATGCGCGTACTTACATTTCGGTGATTCATTTTGTATTTATATAGATAAATAGATATGTTTTTCCAATGTTTACTTAATGCCCAAAATTCAACAGTAACTACATATTTAAATTGAAATCAGTCTCTATGATGGAGAAAGTGGGTCCATGCTCTTATATATAAATACAATTTTTTATATAGACCATATAAATATACTGGAATTTGGATATATGTATGTATATTGTATAATATTTCCATATATTTTGAGTATATTTAATGGACATAAAGTGTATTTTATATGTATGTTTTTTACTTCTTCACGCTGGAGGGATTTGGATGTTTGTAAACAGATAGACTACACCGGAAGTGATATATACGCTACTCTTTCGCATTCGAACGAATCGAGGGTAATTTGCTAGTAACCTAATAAGGATAGAGTATTTACTAATGTAACTTTTCTTAAATATAGATTAGTGGAACTGACAGCGCAAAGAGAAGCCGCTGCGTCAACTTCGGCGGCTCCGCGCGTTGCGGACGAGTCCGCTGGCTTGCGCGTCTTCATGCGCAACTTCGGTGAAGAGTCGGTCGCATCTGAACCCTTCATATACATGCCGTCTATAGTCAGCGATGGCTCTGAGGTATAATAAAGGAACAATGAATTTACATTTATAAAAAAACTTTTTTTCAAAAAAAAAATGGTGAGAGGAATCAGGAAGATCCTAAACGCCTCATTTGTTAATGTAAATATTTTAAGAACCTGAAGTATTACATACTTATACATATAATATGCAATTATATATATATATACATATATTGATATAGAAAAATAACCTTAATAACAGCCTTATAATTTTTTATTTTCAAACCCAAAAGGTTTATGCTAGACTTTATATGTGTACCTTAAATTAAATGGCTAGATAGTAAATTACAAACTCATTTCAGACTGACGTGACAGTTCACGAGAACGAACTAGTGATGTTCATGCTGCCGGGTCTGGAGGGTTGTGCCGCCGTCATGGCGCCTCTGTGTCGTCGTCTCAAGGTCAAGATATGCGTGCTTCAGCTCGGCTTGGACCATCGTGACACCATTGATACCTTAGTGGAAAGGTTGCATAGGGTAGGATTCTAATCTATCTTACTAATATTATAAATGTGAAAGTTTACATGTTTGTTACTCAATCACTCCAGAACAGCTAAACGGATCTGGATGAAATTTGGCAAAGAGATGGATCATAGTCTGGAATAGCACATAGGCATACTCTTTATCCCGGAAAAATGTACGGTTCCCGTGGGATAGAGCTGTTTTAGTTTTTCTTCTAGTACTAATATAAAAAGCTCAAGTGTTTGCTTGTTTGTTCTTACCTGCTTCTCTCTGGAACTCCCAGTACAACAAATCCTTAAGTTCTGAGTGGTGAAAGACTTTGCAAGCTGCAAGCAATATCTAGGTTGCAAGTCCTTGAGCTAGTACCTACTGCAATAAAGTGATCTCTTGTATAGAGGTTTTTAGGCGTGATAATTTTATCCAAGTAAATATATCCGATGTAAACATAATCTGTGCTAAGTAAGAGCATCCCACCGTTAAACAATAAAATCAATGAACAAGACGAAATGAGTTCTGTCCATATTATGTGTATATATTTGACGACATCACGCTTGGCTCAGTTTGTAGTGATCCTACTTTCTGTGCCAGCGGTCGCGGGTTCGAGTTTAGCTGGGGGCATTCATTTGTGTGATAAGCACGAATGTTTGTACTCCAGTCATGGGTGTTTGTATTTATAATATATATGTCTTTAAAGTTATAAATGTGTAGTGTATCAACTATCTGGTATCCATAACACAAGCCTCGTTCGCGGCTTACCATAGAACTAGATAGTGCTGTGTGTTAATAATGTCCCAACATATTTATATATTTATATTGTATTTATATTTTTTAATGGTATGAAATATTAATAAAACCTATTATTTTCATTTAGACGGCGAAAACAAGACTGGGGCCAGGAAGTCCTTATATCCTACTAGGATACAGTTTTGGTACAATACCAATGTTAAAGTTGGCCTCAATTTTGGAAAGCGAAGGTGAGATTTTAGTTACAAAAATATTATATTGCTTAGAGTTTATCTATCTATATGTATACCTACATAGGTTATGAATTTAGTAGTTTACGTTATGCTTACTTTATTTTAAAGATTTATATAATAAATATAAATATTTTATTGTTCTTTACAAAACTGATTAGAATAATAATATATCGCTGACATGCTTATATCTAAACATTACAATTTAACATAGACAATTTAAAGATAACAGTTGAACTAATAAAATATTTCATTGTTTTAATTTTATATTTAATTTGATTATCATTAATTAAAGAGCAAGTTTTAACTTTCGATTGAAAATTCAGTCCAAAGTCGCAATATAAATATTCTGGGGCTTTTAGATTAGACATTATTTCATTTTTCATTATATTAGAGATTATTCAATAATATTTTACGAGAAGAAATCTAAAAAACACATTAAAATTCTCAGATGTAACATTTATATTTGTCATTTTAATACAACTTTTAATATTTCTATTTATTCGCGATTGTATAATTTTGTCTTGTGTAATTAAATAAAGAAAATTTCTTTTTTTTCCAAATCAGGTCACAACGGAACGATATTTTGCGTGGATGGTAGTCCGGACTTCCTCTACGGATTACTTACTATGACGATGCCTTCAAAGAACGAAGCACAGCTCCAGAATAACCTTTTGTGTACCACAATCGACATTGTCTCTCCCAATAACGATATATCTTCTACTCTGATGGAGAATCTTGCAGAGATAGAATCTTTTGAGGACAGGATTGAATATACTATTAAGGTAAGGTATTATGGCAAACTGCCTCGGTGGAGTAGTGGCTAGCATGTACGGGTGCACACCCGGAGGTCTTGGGTTCGAGTTGCGGGTCGGGCCAAGTTTAGTTATTGAGTCTTTCTGTATAGTAAGCCTCAGTAATAGTCTGGAGTTGGGAAGTTGGCGGTGTTTCACCCCCGTGCCTCGGAGAGAATGTAAAGCCTTCGGTTCTGCGCCTTAACTCTCACCGTTCGTGTCTCGCGTCGTCCCACCGGAGTATGAGAGTAACAGAAATAGAGAGTGCACGTTGTGTCTGCGCGTACACTTGTGCACTATAATATCTATGAGATTGGCTGCCGTGGCCAGAATCGGTCAGGAGAACATCAATATATGATAATTAAAGTGATATGGCGGAAAATAGTATTAAGAACTACAACCTCTTTAGTCGAATATATATTCAGGAGTATTTAGTCTCCCACTGATGGCTTTAAAATGGGGGGGGGGGGATAAATAACCTTATATATCTTAGACATATACACATACTTGGGTTGACTGAATGAGAACTCTTTTATACGTCCACCTTTATTCACCTCTCTCCTTAATAAAAATACTAATATTTATTACAGGTATGTCCAGTTCAAGATGTTTATAGTAAGCACTTCATTGGTTGTATTGCGAAATCTTGTTTCGATCGTCTCCAAATAGTTCTAAATATGGGTGAATTTAAAAAAGTAAAGGCGCCAATAACCTTACTACGTCCTAAAGAAACACCTTCTCAGTTAATCATCGAAGAGAACTATTGTCTAGATAAATACACTGAAAGCAATGTAACCGTTCATTTGTTGGAAGGAAATCATGTCAGTATAATAGAAAATAAGGACTGTGCTAATATTATTAATAGAGTAATATCAGAACAAGATGGCGGCAACAAAGGCACACAAAATGCCGTCACAAATATGGTAGAGAAACAACGGTCGGTACAAGTTTAATTTGTTTTTTTTTTTAATTTATTTGGGAATAACTTAGAGGAATTATTATATAAATAAAATAAATAAATAAGAAACACGTACTTTAAAGTTTTTTTTTGTTATTTTGTTTTTTTTAAATATTATATTTATTTTAATGTGAAATGATTAGGGGATTGATATTTTGGGGTAATTTATTTTTCTAGATTGTATAAGTAAAATTATTGTTTATAATTAATTTAGTGGCTTCTTAATATAAGATTGTTATTATTGATCATTTTATAGGACCCTTAATATTAAGTTTGATTTATTTAGTTTAAGTGTAAGAACCAGTACCAAACACAATATTCATTAGTTAGAAATTTTACCTCTTTATTTGTTTTTTTAAAGGTGTAACTGATTTTTATCTTTATATAAATATTATTTCATATGAAATGCTGAAAGGTTTTTATTTTTATTATCTATTGTGGTATTAATTATGGGTCTAAGAAATAAATTTATTTTTTATCATTTATTTAATGCTTTTTATTTATTAAATAAATTAAGTGAATTTATTTACATAATTTATTTGAAATATATCAAAATATTATCTATATCTTTAATGTATTCTATCACACTACTACTATAAATGAGAAATGTGTATGTTTGTTACTTCCTTACACGAAAACGGCTGTACAGATTTGAATGAAATTTAGTAAACATATAGACTTTGACTTGGATAGTAATCAAATCTACAAAAGAAGGCGTTATCTACATAAAATAAAAAAATATACCAAAAGGCAGCTAGGAAAGTACTTATCCAAGCGAAGCAAGGGTATGCCGCTAGATATAATTAAATTATAGCTGTTTTTTTTTAACTAACATAGACGTACAATGGGTACTCAGTAAAGATTCGAGATTCGATTTTTGCCATCATCATAATTTATAATGAGTTTTATGGTCATAGGAGGTTTGTATGTAAAAATAATGCCATTATGAATGGTAGTAGAGGCACTACAGATTGTCGCGCATTACAGCGAAGGGAGTGTAGAAGCGGAGTGACACGAGAGCACCTCGTTAATAAAATATAAATAGGGAAACTGTTACTCAAGAGAAAATTAGTTTTCATTTTCCGACGACATTAATTCTACAAATACTGCCAAGGTGCTCTCAAAGTAAAATTAGAAATGACCTTATCGATATATTCCCCTTGAATTTTCTCATTATTTAACTTTTTAATAACAAATTTAATTTTATTAATGGAAATATAGCCCAGTCAATAAGGTAAAAGAGGCAAATCTCGAAATGGAAGGTGTTAAGCTATAAACTTGTATATACGATCGCTTTAGCTGAAAAGTCTCATTTAATCTCTTGCTCATGGTACAAGTTGTCAGACGTCATGGAAATCGGGTTATTATATAGCATGTTTTCTTTGCCCAAAATGAGATTTGAAGTTATTACAATTATTAAAAGTTTAAAGTATAAAATTCTTTACAAATTCGGTCGTACACTATATTCTATAGGAAGATTGCTGGAACTGATTCGATAGGCAAAACCAAGGATATAGAAATGTGGCGTTACCTAAAAGAGGCCTACGTTTAACTTTGGACGGACTGTTAGCTATTTCATATCAATCCTTTAATCAACCCTTTTTGAGATTCAAACATGCAGCGAGTCTAAAGCGCTTAGTAGACAGGTCTGGGCTAATACAATTTTTCCCCAATACCAGAATCGAACCTGCAGGATCTATGTCGGTAGCATTGCTATGTCATGTCCAAATGCATAACCTCATAATTCTTAAAGGTGTTAAATTATGGAAATATTATTTAATATTCAACCCAAGTGAGTGGGCGAACTCCCCCTCGTTTCTGTCGGGCTCGTTCCTAGGTGATTCTTTTACATAATTTTTTTTATGAACCGATTGAAATGAAACAAATACTAAATGTTAAGTGAAGCTTAATACAATACATTAGTGGTACACAAATCGGTTAAGCTTCTGAGATTAGCGCGCACAAACGCATAGACAAACAGACAAAAATTCTAAAAAACATTGTTTTGGGTTCTATTGCGTGAATAAAGACTCCCAATAGAAGTTTTTCTCAAAAATGTTACATGTACAGACAGCGATCAGTTACAGTTTTATTATATGCATACAAAACAATATATTGATGAAAAGTAGCCTATGTGCTGATGCCTTTATAAGGCTCACCCTCGCTTCGCTCGGGTTCGTCAATAGGCACGTTTTAACTGTTACGGATTGTATTAAAACGTGTTTTCCCATGCGAATTAGATAATCTCCCGCGGTAAAAAGAAAAACTCCACACAAAAAAAACATTCCATCACTCTGTTTCGACGTAAAAAAAAAAAAAAACAAACAAACACACTTTCACATTTATAATGTAAGTATGGGTATGGATGATAGGCGATAACACAAAGTTTTAAGTTAGTAAGACTTAGTATTCATGAAAGTTTACTTAAGCAATGTCCTCTTATTAGCCACTTTGGCAAGCAGCTTGTTAGTGATAGAGGCAATCGGAATTTGCTGACCGCTTGGCAACATCCTCGACGTTCGATTGATTTATAGAACATCGTTAATCCATTTATCGTTGCTGGGATTCGTAGAAGATATGATTGAATAAACATATAATTATATTATGTACGTGTTCTGTAGAGGTTTTGGTTTTAATTTTATGGCGTAAAGGTCGAAAGGTAAACAAGAAATAATTTAATATTTTCTTTGATTTTTGGTTCCTGACGTTTCGGGAAAATCATCAAATATTGTAAGGCACTCTGGTGCCATTTTTGATATCATTTTTGTAGAATTGTGGGTAGGCACTGTAACAAGTATATAACGCCTTTGAGATGTCTAAAACCTTAGTGTCTCCCATGACCATGATTGCTGTAAAACATTCGAAACGTCGGGAACCAAAAATCAAAAGATCCGCGAAATAATCTGAAAAGATAGTTTTATTTAAGAACAAATAATTTATTTTCAGCTGGAAATAGAATATATTAAATAAATATATTAAATAAATATATTAAAATCATTTTGCCAGTGTATTATTTTTCTTCTTCATAAGGATTAACTCTTGACTAGAAGGCAGATAAAGCAAAATATTAAAGATCATAAAATTAGTATATAATACAAAAAATATAACATGTTATTTATTTTTTTTAAATTGCAATAATGCAATATTACAGTGAAAATTGGCTAGAAAATGAATATATTCGTCAATTCTTGAATGTTTTCAATTCAGTTGAAAAAAATATATATTCAAACTAAAAATTTAAATTAATTATATTAAAAATCAGTGGGCCACCTCAACATGTTCAATATTTTTTTAATTTAGTTTTTTTATAAGATATCGATTTAACCCCCAAACTTTTTTCGCTTCACCCTAGTTATAGTACAGTATCCAAAGCCATGAAAAATATTTTATAATTGTAGACAAAGATAGATAGGTACCTTAAATTAAACAAAAATACAAGGAGGTATGTGTCGTATTTTTAGAGTAGTTGTATACAACCAATCACACTCCCTCAATTAATTTGCTACAAACCTTTACACATATACATACATATTATAATACTTAGTTGTTGTTTCATCAATAACGAGACAGCCATATTTACTACGAAGCCAAGTACACATTCATATACAGTACTTAACAGCGTAACGTAGAGTCGCTTTTAAACCTTACAATATTTTACACGATGACGTAGCAAAATATGCCTTTAAAGTAAAATTACTTAAGATAAAACACTGTATCCAATTTTAGCCTTACATTGCATGTGTTTAAGAACAGAATTCGTGTGAATAAATTCGGTTAAATGTAGTGAACGTTTGAAATGGTGGGTCCATTCAATATTCGCTGAGGCAGTTAGCTCCTGTTTCTGCACTCACGTAAATAGATTGAAGTAATTTACTCTCTACACCTTTCCCAACCTCCCATAATACTAAACTGTCCCTTACTAATGTTGCTATTTTATTTATATGTGAAAAATTACTCGAAGATATTTTTTATATAACACTAGCATTGCCCGCGGCTCCGCCCGCGTTCAGATGACCAAAAACCAAATTCTTAGGTTTTACATATTAGAATACTCTTACGATGCAGTTTTTGTATTTTTTCTCAGAAATGAGATATTTTCCCGCGGTAAAAAGTAGCCTATATGTTGACCCAGATAACCAACTATCATCATACCAAATTTCATCAAAATCCGTCCAGTGGTTTTCTTGTGATGCAGTAACAGACAGACAGACAGACAAAAATTATAAAAACTATAGATTCGGCCTCTGTATCGATAATAATGTCTATATCAATAAGATTTAAAAATATATATATATATTATAGTATATATATATGTATATATATATATGTATATATATACTATAATATGATGATGTTCTCCTAGCCGATTCCGGCCACGGCGGCCAATCTCAATGAGATTAGCCAACTGCGCAGGAGATATTATAGTGCTCAAGTGTACGCGCAGACACAAGTGCACTCCCTATTCCTATCACTCTCATACTCCGGTGGGACGACCACTCGACACGACCGGTGAGAGTTAAGGCGCAGGACCGACGGCTTTACGTGCTCTCCGAGGCACGGTGGTAAAATACCGCCAACTTCCCAACTCCGGGCTGTTACTGAGACTTACTATACAGGAAGACTCAATAACTAAACTTGGCCCGACCCGGGACTCGAACCCAGGACCTCCGGGTGTGCAGCCGTACATGCTAGCCACTACACCACCGAGGCAGTTTATACTATAATATATAATATATATGTATATATATATTCCGAGCGAAAATGTCTAATTTAAGAGTATACTAATAGGTAAAACTTAAGAATTTGGTTTTTGGTCATCTGAACGCGGGCGGAGCCGCGGGCAAAGCTAGTTATAGTATAAAATTGTGTATTTAGGAAATATCTATATTGAAAAAGGATATTTAATATAAATATCCTGAAAATAATTGTGTAAGCTAAATATGGGATATTTATTTTAAATACAGATAGTTTTCAATTAAAACTAATTCTAAA